CACGTGGAAACAGGCGGGCAATACTAGCGAGCGATTTATGATCAGTCCTCCCGGTGTTGTTGTTATGAGGGAGGCTAGAGTTTGAGACCGTGTTGCCAAGTTTCGTGAGAGAAATAAGGAAACAGACCTCCAGAAACAAGCCAAAAACAAGCGATGTTTTTTGCGGGAAATAAACAGACTTGGCAACACAACAGGGTGTTAACAACGGCCGTAATTCCCGACTATTAGTTGATGCAACACTTTTAAAATGGTTTGGGCTGTAAGGTATTAAGTGACTTGAAAAGACTTGAGTCAAGTCTCAAGTCTTTAGCGATCAAGTCCCAAGCAAGTCCAAGTCACTTCTTGATCATGAAGCAAGTCAAAAACGGGACTCAAGTCCAAGTCGAGTCGTCGAGCCCCCACCTCTGTTAATTATAGATACAGAATAAGTTTGAGTTCTGCTAACGACCATTTAACTGAAAACCATTCTGCCTGTTACTGATAAGCCACCAGGTATTGACTCAAAATGTTTTATTTGTAGAGCTATAAAAGTAGCTCCCTAGTTTTGATGGTTGGTTGCGTTTCCATGGCAACAGCGGTGGTGACTCAACAGCCATTAACCACCAATCTAAGGTTCTATGAGAGTCATTTTACTCCTTTACACAGTTTGATTTCATATGAGTGAAATGTGTCCCTAAAGTGCTTTTTTAGAATAAATAGCTGTTTTTAGCCAATCAGAATTGAGTATTTAATAGTCGGGTGATTAGTAAGAAAGAAAATAATTAAGAAGAGAAAAAAAAAACTACAGACTGCCCTTTAAAGAAGGAAGGAGATCACTGTCTACTGGACTCAAACTGGAGGAAAGTTTTGCCACATAACGGTTTGCCTTCTGTACTAGTTTTGGGGAATCAGTCTGTAACTGTAAAGGCTGCTCTTAGCTTTCATCTTCCTCCTTGTTTACATCCTTTTTGCCGAGCTAAAGTTATTGCCTCCCTCTGGCTGTAGATTCCTCTCTTTAAGTTTAAGGTGATTGATTTCGTTCTTTGTGTTCCCGCTCTTCAAAAAACAAATGATCTAATTTCCTAATATGTGGAAGTACATCTTCAAAGCTCAGACAATATAAATGGATTATCAGTCAGCTTTCTGGAAATGAGGAGAGACACTGTCTTGCCTCAAACATTCTCTGCAACACTCTTGGAGTATTTCAGCCTCATATATAATATAATGTGTCATTTACCACTTAGTGAAATCACTGAACATTACAGCCTGACGTTCCCTGATCATCTCATAGTATGAATGTGAATCGGTTTCTGTCTGTCACCTTAAAGTAAATGATTAAAGACTCTGGTGACATGGAAATGCACCTCGTACAAAGACTATTCAGCTCTGATCCGACGGCTGCTATTCTTCAGGGGAATTACTCTATTAGAGAATTTGACAAATTTCCATTGAAATGACTTACTGGAGGTGGAAGAGGGGCAGCCAAGTTGTACCGCAGAAGTATATTTTTCTCATAACAAAAGGACTTGTCAGCAAGATGTATGGAGATCTTGGCTGCAGACTCAGCTGCATTCAGAGTTTTTATGAACAGGTCTCGAACAAACTGTAAAAGGATTCAAGGGGAAGTGGGAGGAAGATTACAGCACGTTTGTCAAATCAGACCTTTTTTTTTCACATTTTTCTTTGTGAAATTAGTGAAATATCTTCAAAACAAACATCTCAGGGTTCTTTGCATTTAATGCCACCTGAAGAGCAGCAGACGATCAGGATGTTTGCACAAAACTTTTAAAGAGATATTCCGGCGTAAAATTAAGTTAGGGTCAAACACACCATAACACCGAGTTAGACATCCCCTTGAGAGATGAATGTTGCTGACTGCTTACTTCTCTAGTTATACCAACTTCAGTAACGACCGCAGGATAGCGATACAGAGCGGTCTGAGGAGCCATAGACAAACCTCAACCAAAACGCCACAAATAATGCTCAGAACAGCACCTAACTTCATCAACAGGACATATAGGGTCCCAGACATCGTACTAGACACCAAACATTTTTTTAACTTTGACTAATTTCTTTAGCAAAGAGACTAAACACAACTCACCCACTCTCTTCCAGCAGCCGTTTGTTTGTAGCGAGACCTCAGGCCAGTCCATTATGGACTACAGCGGGGTGACGCAGCTCAAGGAAGAACATTTATGATCATTTCTTTATCATTTCCTTAAAGTAACAATCATCATATTTATCATTTTGCACTGCAGACATGGTAGTTCTTCTGTGGTAGTTCTCCTGCCTTAGCGTCTCAGTCTGATTGTATTTCCATGAAGAAATGATCATAAATGATCTTCCTTGAGCTGCGAAACTCCACTGCATTCGGTGATTGACTCATCAGGGCTGCTGGAAGAGAGTGGGTGAGTTGTGTTTAGTCTCTTTGCTAAAGAAATCAGGCAAAATTAAAAAGACGCTTGGTGGTTAGTACTATGGCTAGGACCCTGTATGTACTGTTGATGAAGTTAGGTGCTGTTCTGAGCATTATTTGTAGCTACAGAGTAGCTTTTTGGTTGAGTGCGTGGCTCTCTGTATAACTATCTGCGGTCGTTACTAAAGTTGGTATAACTAGAGAAGCAAGCAGCAACATTCATCTCTCAATGGGGTGTCTAACTCGGTGTTACGGTGTGTTTGACCCTAACTTAATTTTACGCTGGAATATCCCTTTAATACTGACTGGTTTGAGGTTTTTCTTCACTCATTTCTAACTCAGTTGTCTCTTATATAGGAATGTGGCCTTCGGCTGGGGCTGAAGGAAATCATATTTGGACATTGCGATTGCAATGAGTGCAAGTTTAGTGACATGTTGCTCCACCTGGTCTCTCTGCGTTGATGTGTTGGAAGGCTAGACTCTGTCATATTTGAGATTTTATGATGTTGTAACTTCTTGTACAGTAGAGTCAGTAAAGACAGCTGCTTCATCTCAGACTGGTGTGTAAACTGAAGTCCTACTTAGCCACCGCTGAGCTGCTGGAAGACTGCCGGAGAAACGATTATTCTGACACCGGTGGGCTGCTGGCTGCTCCCACAGGCGAAGCAATCACAGTGTTATTTGGGCGAGAATGTCGAGATTAGGCGACTTAATCCCCAAATAAATGCCGAGGGGCGTTAATGGAGACTGAATCAACATTGGTGTCTTACATCTGTTTCTTGTTGTTTATTTTTCCTCACCTGTCACTCATCGTTTTTTTTTTTCTCTTTGTAAGACTGCAGATTTAGTTTTCCTCAACACAAATGATTTCCCTCTCTTTGGGTTTTTCTGTGCTGCCTTCATGCCTCACCTGTGGCTGCGTTTGATTTGTTGTGGATTTGACCTAAGCTCTGCACACTATTGTGTCCCCCATCACTAAGAAGCAAAGATCTCTGCAGACTTCAGCAGAGGGCAAAACAAACACACTAAAGAGCAGCAGGAATTGAGATAAGGAAAAAGAAAGGCAGGCTGCAGAGGATATGAGAATCCTTGCTCAAAGAGGTGTATTCTTGCAATATGAATCCGTTTGGAAAGGCCCCACAGGGATTTCCATCATCTCTCTCAGACCCTGATACCACACTGAAGATGGAGCTCGCACCGGCTCTGTTTTTTTTCATCCAGCCGGAGATTTGTGATTAGATTGAAGAGCGCGGCAGAGGAGACGCAGGTCCTTTCCACACCGAGAGGAGAAGCAATGTTCCACAAGACTACACATTCATTACTCTAAATAAATCTCCATTAAAAAAATGCCATATGCATAATTAGGCTATAGGAATAATTATAATTGTGATTAGTTTCTCCGTGGGCCGACCTATGTAAATTGTGATTGACACCCGGCAGAAACTGAATGCATAAATGTGGCTGCAGAGATACACAGAACGGGCTCTGCAGCACAATAACAAGCATCAGAATGCAGAGGAGACAAAGAGACTCGGGGCATGGGTGGCTGTAAACATGCTTCGGCCTCACAGTTATACCCCGGCTATAAACACAATACCATACATGCTGTATGTATCATTATAATAATAATAATAAAAATGGATTGCTGACATGGAAATCTAAGAACTCTCTAACAGCCTTATGCAACAGTCCTGCAATGAATCCCGTCTTCATCACTGTAGATTAAATCCCCAGAGGCGGTTTGTGAAGATGGTGGACATATTTAAATTTACACTATAGAGATCAGCTGCAGCACTCAGTTTAATTTAAATGTTTGTGACTATCATATGCAAAATAGGAATGATGCAACTTTTGCAATGTGCAGCATTTTTAGCATGAATAAGAGTCGTGCATAAATGAGGTTACAGCAGAAGTATCATTACATTTTTTCTCACAATCTCTAGAAATGGGCGATAAATTATCGTTCACGATATATCGTCTGAAAATCCTCCATGGTAAGTATTTGCCATTGCATGATAAATACGGTAAATGCAATTTGATGCAAGGGGTGGACTCGTGATAAATTTTTTAGCCCATATCACCCATCCCTAAAAATACCCCATAAACATGTTAAAAATTAGGGCCTAATCTTAGTTCATAGAGCTGCACAGTGATGGTGATGACCTACTGGCACAACAACACAGTTAGCAGGTTCCACCTTCTGAAGACAATGAATGACAAAAATACAAAATTGGTGGTGTGTCTACAGAAGAGGGAAGACCAGAGTCAGCTGGATGTGTCCTCAGGAAACCATGAAAACTAGGATTCAGTGCAGAGGTGAGGTATTAGACTGCATTACCTTTTTCTGGTTGTAAACATGAAAGATTTCGAGCAACAGCCTGTAAAAATGTTCACAAAAACTCAAAGGTCCACTGAGGAGAGTAAACCAGTGCAATTCTTGCAGTAGCTGAAAAGAAACACTTAATTTTTTGCTTTAAAACACACCCCTCACATGTTTAACCCACATGATGAAATCTGACATTTTCTACCCGCAGACTTTGATGTGTTTAATTTACACAAAGAAGAGCCGGTAAGTCACCGGGAACAAAGGTGACAGTCGGTGTCTTCAAAAGGAAGCGGTTTCAGCCAAAGCCTTGATCTGTCCCGCCGCTCGGGGATCCTGCTGGCAGGGCAGTCGCGCTATTTGTGCAGCGATGGTGAAGCCAATTATAACCAGTCTGCGGCTGTTTTGGATTCCACTTGATGTGGCGCTTTCATCTCCAAAGGCCATCTCTTAAGGAAACAATAACCAGACGGACCCTTCCTTTTAAACTCACCAGGTGGGGGCAGCAGTGCAGATATGGACAGAGCGGGTGACTGGAGGGGGGAGGGGCGGTTATTTGGGTTTTTTTGTTCTCGCACCGTGTGGCTGACCCGTCTATAGGTGTGATAAAACCAGTGTTAATGCATATGCAGACAGGCCTGACAGGTTGTGTGGAGCTTCTTTTACATTTTAATGGAAATGGGGACCGACTGATAAAACTATTAATAGAAAATGAATCAGTGTCTGTGACTCTGCGAGGGGGACACAAGAGGAGACGTTTGCAGGCGTCTCTTCTGAGCTATTAAAAAGAGCACAAGATAAAAGGGTATGATATGTTCACATTTATTGTGCAGTGACTTTTATATACATACATTTTATACACCTAATTTACATAAACAGAAATAAATTAATCTGCTAATCTTCTTTAATTCATCCGGCTTTAGTGTTGCCATCGACTGGACATCGCAAACTTTGAACAAGAGAACGCAAAATAGTTCCAACAAGTGACACATGAAGTGACAAGGCAGTAATATGAGTCAATGTTGTCTAAAGTTCATCATTATTAGTGTTTTACATTACAAACACACACACACAAAGAAGCAGTTGGTAAGAGTTTCAGTGTTCGACAACTTCTCAAGTGTTTCAAACTTTCCAGAATAATCCAGGATTTATAAAGTTTGAGGAAGGCGAGCGCCGCTCAGTGACGGTTTTACAGAGCGATAATGTCAAATCTCTGAGTATACACTAGATTCAAATGAAGGTTATCATTTCATTTTCTTCATGTTTAAGAAGTCTCATAATTCCAAATCTCTCTCTTTTCGGGTAATTCTGACATCAGTATATAGTAAAAATACTAAAAACTAGAATTTTTTATGATACAGAACATCTAAAAAGTAAAAAAAAAAAATCAAAACAAAACTTTAATATAAGGATTAAAATCTTTAAAATATCAGCATGATATTACTGAGTATAATGTTCGCCTTTTGCAGCTGCATTGTCTTTTTAGGATACAACGTTGTATCAGTAACACATTTAAACTCCATTTTTCACAATATATCGACACATTTATCAGCTCTGACAGATTTAGTCTGAGTATATTTGATGTAAGCTTTGACAACACGGCCCAGCGAACGGCCCTGCGGAGATCAAAAGACCCAAAAGTCTTACAAACTGCATCTTCAGTATTAGAGATGACGTTACTATTGTGCTACATACAGTATTGATCACCGACAGACACACAAAGATAAAATACAACTTGTCTATTTAGTGTGTTCTTTATAAAAAAAGTAAATCTAACGCGCTAAAGTGAGAGTCGTCTTAGTCTTAACTGTGAGTGAAAACAATAAAAAAAACACATTAACTGGAGGGGCGGGGCCCAAACGTGTCCAAAACGAGGAAAAACAGAAAAATGTAAACCACTGGAGAGATGATGTCTAGGTTTTCTTTTTTTTTAATCCATGTACACAAAGAAGTGTAAATACAAACACCTACCTGCTCTCATATTCTCAGTTTGGAAAGTCTACCTTTCTACGGCTAGCTTATGATAAACACTGACGCTAACTAGAGTGACATGCCTAAGAAACACGAAACAACACATCACCTCCAGCCTCTCCGCACCGTACAGGAACACAGAGTAAGAATTTACAGGTTACATTGATGGATCTTAAGCACTAAGCTGCCGAGAAGCAGCAAGAACTGGTAGTTATAGAAACATGCAGCCTGTGGTGAGTTTCTACAGTACTATTAAGTCGTTGTTGGTGGTAATCGGCTGTGTGAAAACCCAGAGTTTTTTTGTTTGATTTTTATTTGATTTTTTTTATTTATTACTATCATTTCTATCAGAAGAAAATAATTTTCAACATGGCTCTGTTGTTCCGTTAGCCTCACACTCAATCCAGCCAGACTCGCATTTAAAGTGAACAGATAATCACCACACCATACAGGAACATCTGGTTATTGCACACTAGCACTGAACTTGCAAATGTTCATGCAGAATGTATGAGAAACACACTACACTCAGATCAGTGTTGCTCACTATGTGACAGATGGCCGTACAGCTCTTTGGAAGACTAAAATACATTGTTGAGGAGGGTCAGGGGGGAGTTGAACTACGTGGCACACTATACGGAGACGCCTACAGCGTTTGTATCACATCCTACGGTGGTGGACAGAGGCGTGCTGATGTTTATGAGAAGTGATATGGGGTTATGTGACGCTTACGGACAGCTGTGTTACAGTACCTTCTCTAAAACAGTACAAAAAGGAGGAGTGGAGAGGCGGTACTCGCACCGAAGGGGGGACAAGGGCGAAGGAGGACATTTCTGTGAGAAAATCGAGCAACCTCTTTTTCAACAAATTCGAGCATCTGCATGAAAAAATTACATCCAAATCAAACATTCATATCATTGTTTCTGTTAAAACACAAAAATAGTTTAAGACCCACAGAAGAAAGATTCCCGGCAGAGTCAAAGGAAGAGATGCTTCTGTTCAGGGATGAAAGGGGGAGGGGGTTTTTAACTCGGAGAAAGCAAAAAAGCAGAAAAAAAAGGAGACGATCTTTTCAGACACACGTTTTGCTCACAAACTACTTCACACACTAGACTCGTGGAAAGACAGGTGAGACGGTCGTAAGGCCAAAACTGTGGCAGAAAGATGAGAGGAGGAAGTGAGACCGTGGTGATGGACCTTGTGTTTAATGGACTGTGGATCATCTTCTCTGCAGCTCAGGGGGATTGAGAGCCTGACCTGTAGTTCTTGAAGCTGCCCAGAAGACTCTGCACCCCCTTTCTGACCCGGCGAGCCACCGAGTCTGCGGGAGGAGTGGGCAGGCAGGAGGCCAGGCTGGGCGGACGAGCATCCAAACATTTCTGGTAGCGGAGCTAAAAAAAGACACAAAAAAACACACCATAAATTATGTATCACAGACGCCCAAACTAAAATCAAAACATTGACTGGTGCATGTAAACAACTCTGAATCACATTTGTTCCCCTTAAGCTTTAAACTTAGGGACTCCAAAAAGTTGAGACAGGAGTAAAACAGTTTTCTCTCCATCTTCTTTAAAACCAGGGCTGAAGAGGGAGTCGAAGAACGAGACTCATAGTTTCCAGGATTTCTGATCAATTATCTGAAATTTACTTCTTTGGAGTGAGTCCATGATTTCCAAAAACACTGTCAACCTCAGTCCATCTCACATGGTTCTGGATCAGGCTTCTATGTGGTTTCCTCTTATCCGCATTTGTGAATGTAGGAGCAAACTGTGTTCAAAGACGATGGTTTTTAGATGGGATTTTGAGCCCATGATGCAGAGACTTCCACTGTAGAGTTGTGTTTTAGTGCAGTGTCACCTTACATATGTTCCCTTTGCAGTGATTTCAATCAAATGCTGCCTCTTAATAAACTGCAAACCATCAAATTGTGTTTTATCAACGTTTCACACAGCGCCCTCTTTAATCTGAGCTGTAATCCTGCTGTGTTTTCGTTACTCTGCTCACACCTGCCGTGTTATTAATCTGTGTATGTATGTGTGCGTTCAGGACTCACCATGCAGGCAGCCTGCACAGCCTCACTCAGACTGGCAGCGTTGGGCTCGCACCAGAACATGTGGCAGGTGAAGTCTCGGGGACCCTCGGCCATGATGAAAGCGAAGGTGTGGACGTCCTTGCCCACGCCCATGAAGGACAGGAAACGCACCCTGCACTCTGACAGCACCTCCTCGTTCTGAAACACAAAATTCAGGAGTTAATGTTATCAGAGTGTGCTGGTCGTGACACTTGGACATTGAAATGAAATCAGGATCCTTCAGAGTTTCTGTTGGTTACCTGTGTGGAGAGGATTGTGAGGGTGGCTGGAGCGACATTCACAGACACAGGAGTCCAGTCGCTTTTCTCTTTGCCGGTGATTGCTACCTCGAGCGCATCATTGATTACTTCCATACCTGAGGAGAAACGAGAACATCTGTATGAGGAGGGGAGAACATTTTGAGTCTTTATTTTGTTTATTTTGATGTTGATGTTACTTTTACATGACCTGCCCCGGGTTCCCACGTGAATCTCAAACTGACCCACATGTGCGGCAGAAATAAACACAGCGATCTCTTAAGTCTAGGATTTCATGTTTAAATGGATGAGCATTAGCAGAAGCCAGCTGATCATCTATCATGAGGTCTACCGCCTCACTGACCCTCCTGTTCAGACTGAGACTGCACTGCAAAAACAGACCTACATGTATTTCAGGACCGTGTATCTGTGGCTCAAATCTAATCTGAACAGATTCGATTCCATGTGACATGTGATGCTCTGAATGCCATAAAAAACAGATTTGAGTCACTTCAGCCCGCAGTGCAGTATGAATGTTGTCTAAGTGTGATATAATTCAAAGATCACTCTTACCCACTGGCTTTCCCACGGGCACGCAACCAAGATAATAAACCTGGAAGTGCTGGAAGAGTTCGTTTTTTGGAGCTGGAAACTCTGAAAAAATGAGAAAAATATTGTTACTACCTTTTGATTTTCAAAGATGAAAAAAAAAGGCGTGTAAGCTCTGAAATGCTCTTAGTTTTACCTTCCACTGGGAGGATCCCGTGGTTACCAGGGTCAGAGTTGAGCCTGCTCACCCCTGGCTTGGTTGCCTTTCTCTCCATCATTATCTAACATCGAGAAAAACAATCGTAAATTAAGCAGGAAACTCAAAGCTGGTGATGAACCCAGACGTTGTGTAGAATTCATAATGAAAGGAGATTAATTCCACCGGAGGCTGACCTTTGAACACATCTCATGTAAGCTGGTGGCTATGTTCTTTGCAGGTGAGTCGCAGCGGAAAACGTGACACTTCAGCACCTGGGTCAGGTTGTCTCGAGCCACATAAGCAAAATCCCTGCAGGAGAGATGGGATAGAAAAGGTCACATTCACACTTAGAATCTGTTTCAGCAGATACACGCGTCAAATACACACACACACCAAACATCTAACACTAGGACCAGACAATAAAGCTTTTAAGAGTGTAAGTATTGACGTGTACCTTTCCCTGTTTGTGATGAGAGGCAGCATGGAAGAGAACACATGTGGTTAGAATACAGAGAGAAACTGTCTGTCTGCAATACCTTTAACAATCCAGCAGAGGGCAGCAGAGTACAACAAAACGACTGAACAAAAGGAGTGCACTGAGCTTGCCATTACAGATTCCTTAAAGGATGCCAAACCTGTGAGTCATGAATGAGTCATGAATACAGGAGAGTTATTTTAAAAAGGTATCAGCTGCTGATTTAGACCGGGGAGAAATATTTAAACTACAATGAAAAGAGCAGCTGTGCGAACAAGAGTCAGGAAGGACGAATTCTACTGAGGGTCAAATTTGAGAGGATAAATCCATTATAATGAAAACATACAAAAAAGGCTTTTCAAGGTGCCTTCACTTAAAAAAAAGAAATGCATAATACTTAATATTTAAAGTAATATTGGTTAGGATGGTAAAAATGACGGTTGTGCGTTGTTGAGACTGACCTGCCGTTGTCCCGACCAACACCCCACACACGGATGCTGCCTATTGGCTGAGTATGCAGCAGAGTCTGGCCCAGAGGGTCGATCAGGTTCATGGTGTCGTTCTCCAGGACCATCAGCATGTCCTTACCCTGCCATGACGAGCACAAAGTCACAATAGCTTCCAGCAGCCAGACTTAATCACATATAAGACAAATATAGTTTTTAGTATATCTGTTTTAAAAATCTGACTTCATGTGTTAGACACGATGATGACAGTTTCCTGTTCGAAAGCGACGGTTTATCTGTTTCAACGTCACTCACCTCTCCCCAGATCCCGGCGGTGTCGTGGAGGTTGTGTTTGTGATAAGAGAGCTGTCTGATGCAGTTGTTGACGGCCACGCTGCTCTTGCCAGGAGCCATGTCCTCCTCAGACATCTCCACCCAGCCCAGCGAACGCACCGCAAAACACTGACAGGGCAAAGACACGGTACATGAGGATAAGACAGGACTAAGAATGTGGTGCAATGATCAGGCCTGCTTGTTCAGGTTACTGTATTATAGTATTATACCTCATATTATCATCTGATATGGAGATGTTTCAGAGTTATTCTGTTTACGAGGTCTGTCTCTTTACCTTAGTTTCTATGTCTGTGCAGAGTGGAGCAAGCTTCTCTTCTTCCTCAGACTGGGAGCAATTGTAACTACGATGATGAAGGGCAAAACAGAAAATGAACACAGATGCTTCCATACAGACATCCCCACCATCAACTCAACATTTAAGTGTAAACAGCTCATACTTGAGGTTGATGGATGCATAGCGTAAAGTTGCCCCTTCAAATTCCTTCAGACTCTGATCAGATGCGACCTCTGCTTCTTCTTCTTCCTGTAAATGTAGAAAGACAACATTTAACAATAAGAATGTTCACTACCTCGAGTAAGAGGAGCAAAGATAAGCAAGTGAGGCGGTCTGATGGATTTTTACACGTATTCTTGACCTTCAGATTTGACCATGAGCAACGTGGATATGTTCCACAATCATGTGTTGTCGCCTCAAAGTAGATACGGGCAAATTATCACCACCTCCAAGTTCACTTCCATGTGTCCTTGCCAGACAGACTTACCTTCCACAGCTCCCCTTCACCTGCTCCTTCTTCTGTGCTGGAAAGCTGAGTCCAGGACTCCTAAATGTCAGACAGAATTTACTGTTCACATGTCCTTCTGTTCTCTCCCCTCATTCAGCCAAAACATGTATCGGTCTTTACCTCGGGCTCCTCACAGGGCGTCGTCTCCAGGGACATGGTCGAGGACATGGTGGAGTCGCCCACTTTCCCCAGGGGTGAAGGAGGCTCCCACTGGGTGGTGCCTGTGGGGATGTGCCAGTAGTATGTGCCAGATGTATCCCGCACCCTCATCCATCCTGAAGGCAGGTCCGTGTCGGTCTCAAAAGCGCTGGAATCCCAGAAGGACTCTGAAAGGAGCGGGGGTCATAGAAGGAGAAACATGGGAAATGTTTAACGTCAGGCTGGAGAGAAATAAATCACAGTGACCATGTGTAGTGTCTCATGAGCTATTTCTAAACTCTGCTTAGACTGTCACTTCACTTAAACAACTATACTTTTTTCTGCTACATTAAACTTCAATAGATGATGACTTACAACTGTACCACTGCATGATTACGCTACGAAAAAGAGACCGCACTGTCTTCACAAATCTAAATATTTGACTCTCCAGATCAACAACACTGCACCAAAAACAGAGCATCTTATTTTCTCTGTTTCAGCCCCACTGTCCAGATCAATAAAACAGCAGAACGTTTAATGGACAGGACACAGAGGCTCATTTTATGATTATAGGAGTAAGATAAAGGGCCCCGGGCTCTCTCTGTGATTCTTTACTTATAAAAATAACCTTCCCATTCTGGAGGACTTGGAAGCGACAAAGAAACAAGATGCAGTTTTTAGAATGACAGAAATAAATCGTTCACACGCAGAGAAAAACAAAAAGGAAAACAAACCCCACAACATGCCTGAGTTTATCTTTAAAAATAGGCTTTTTAAACAATTTCATTACAAACCTAAAAGACACCCAACAGATTTTTGTTTTGTACATATTCATCATTCATCTATAACCTCTCCTAAAAAGCACATTTGATTCGATTTGTTGATGATTTCAAACCCATTTTGGTCAATACCAATACTATCAGTACATGCACTTTTATTACTGAGAAGAAAACCAAATCTCTCCTGTTATATAATCTGTTAGTCTCATTGTAACAGTGTGCCTCAAATACAGACATAAAGCAAGACAAATGTCTGAATGATAAAAATAGACACTCATTTCAGTGATATAAACATTCATAAATACGGTCGAAACATTTCTTCTTAACTCTATCAAATGACTGGTAGCTGCTTTTCCACAAACTCTCGGTGCCCTTCAGGATTACAGTTCTTGTTAATTGATAGTGCTGCATGAAGACTGTTTCATCACCTGTTTTACAAGCACTGCATTTAGTTATTTGTCTTTCTCTTCGCAGCCCTTCAAATACTTCCAGACAGCCATGCTTTTTTTTTAGCTTCTTTTAACCAATAGGTTATTATATCAATAAGATTGTGCATCCCACTATTAAGAGTTGCAATCATAGATCTACACTTCTTGTTCACTCAGTGCGCTCTGCATATTCTCTCATTGTATTTGATTGCAATTTGGCAAGTGGTGCTGTTAATATGCATACTGTTTAACTATTTAGTGTTGTATATAGTGTACACACTTGTATATTATCTCTTCATTTTGACTTACTTTATCTATAAAGTATCTCCTCTTTCTACTTTATTTGCACTGGAGTTACTGTAATAAATAGCAACTTCCCCCTGGGGATTATTGAAGTATTCCTCTTCTAGGGTCTCCCCTCCACCACCCTCAACAAACTTCAACACATTCAGAACTCCGCCGCCAGACTTCACACCTGCACCCGCCCATACGACCACATCACCCCCGTCCTCCGTCAACTCCACTGGCTTCCTGTTGCCTACCAAATTCAATTCAAGATCCTCCTCCGCACCTTTAACACCTTTAACACGACCTGGCCCCCCCTCGCCCTTCACAACTGCCCCTCCCACTTGTATTCTTTTTATTCGATTTTACCTTATTTTTAGCTTGTTACTATTATTCTTTTTGTTATGTTTTAGTGAAGTGTCTTTAAGCTCCTGGAAAAGCGCTATACAAATAAAATGTATTATTATTATTATTATTCCTGATTCTGATTCTTCTGCATCTTTGCATCTATCTTCCTTCTAAGTTCATGTGGTCTGTTTAGTGTATTTCCAATTGTATGTGGTCTTAACCTTGACACAGTATATCTCTTTTTACCTCTGTTTCCGTTGGGAGAGCTGTCGGCGGTGTTATCCTGAGACATTGCAGGCCAGCTGGACTCTTCCTCATTCGGTGACCCGTTCATGTTGGAAAACAGGAGACAGGCATTTCTCCCCACCACGCCGCCCTCCCTGTGGGACTCCACTTTCCTCTGCTCTCCTGTGACCCCTCTGGTCTCATCTGGAGTTTCCCTATCTTCATCTGACTTCGTCTCCTTCTCTTTCCCATCCTCTTCTCTCTCCTTGTCCTTCTCTTCTGTGGACTCCAGGGTGTCAATGAGGAGCGGATCATTCAGGATGTTCTTGGACTCCTCCTGATTGAGACCAGGGCTCAGTGTTGTTTTGGGAGACTTGGTCTGCTCCTCGTTTCCCTGTTGTTCTTCCTGAGTGGTGGTCTGATGGGGGTCCTCCTTGTTCCCATTTTGGCTGATGTTGCAGTTGTGGTCCTGGTCCTGCTGGTTCTCGGCTTCTTTCCGCAGCAGGTTCCGGCCTTCTTTCACCCACTTTGCATTGTTGCCCGTGGACTCCTGATCGCCCCAGTGGCTGCTGTCGTTCAGCTTGTTCTTCAGCTCTTCATCTTGTTTTTGTTTGTTCACAACATATGACATGTCTTCATCATCATGGCCTCCCATGGTAGCTTTCCATGTATCTGCTCTGGCGGAGACAGAGGTTCAGATGTATTAGCTTTATTGCTAGCATGCTAACCGTCAACGTCGCGATTATGAGAGGATGGATCTGTTATTAAATGGTCGCTGCATCCAAATAAACCCAAACATGCTTAAATAAATGCTTTATCACGGTCAAAAACCGATTGAATTGAATTTAACATACATGTAAGTGTAGCGTTCAATCTAAAAACTGAAGTTGGTTTCTTGTTAAACTACTTCGTTGGCAAGCACTGCGGCTACTTTCACTGTTACGAGTCAAAGCTCGACTGTGAAACGTACTTCACTAGCGCTATCATCCATTTGCCAACACGGCCTTTTAATCTTTCGATGTTGAGCTCAATTCAGAGCAAGTCAGCGCCACATTCATGTCAGACTCAAACACCAGGTTGTTAAATTCAGTCTCAAAAGTTAACCACACACCGAAATACAATAATATAAATAGGTTGACATCGCCGTGTTAGAGAATAACGGGATGAATCCGCCATCATCACCGCCGTCTTCTCGGCTAGGCTAACGTTAGCTCTTCTCTTCGGCTAGCTAGCTAACGCTCACACACACACAAATCTCGGCGGTTACAATGGCAGTGATTTATCAGAGCAACGATAAGAATTTTGACTTACCAGCTCCACCGAACCCCTTGTTGTCGAAATACGCGGGCCTCCACCAGTTAGCTACATATTTCCATGGATCGTGAGGGCTCGCTCGGTTTCTAGGTGGTGTTTTCAGTCAGTGGGCTCGACGGGTGATGGAGGGCGGACCTGCGTCACGGATTAACGTCAGAGCAGAGGAGCCCACTGACTGCTACTGCTACGGCCCGAACCGAGCGGAACCGGACCAGGTGAGACAGGAGGGGTATGTCTGTCTTTGGACATACCGGTAATACAAGCGCAACATAAAGATAATCATTAGTCATCTAAAAACATTATACTTAACCAGCATTTACCACTGGATCTTCAACATTTCACCAGGTGTTATAAATGTTATCACAAGGGCAAACCTTTTTCTGCTACAAAACAACTAACTTCAGTTTTATCAACTTTTTTCCTTTTTTTTTTTTTTTACCAGATTGTCATATCAGTCTTGTATTTTATTTTCAGAAACCCTCAATGTGATTTACCTCCACTTTGTCAGATTGTTTCCTTCACTTGGCAATTCTGTACAAAACTTTGTCACTTCTTTCCCGTGGGCCTGTCTTTTTAGGTTTTAGGACTTAAAGGGGTATTCCGGCGTAAAATTAAGTTAAGGTCAAACACACGTAACATCGAGGGGTGACGCAGCTCAAGGAAGAACATTTATGATCATTTCTTTATTATTTCCTTGAAGTAATAATCATCATATTAATCATTTTGCACTGCAGACGCGATAGTTCTTCTGCCTAAGCGTCTCGGTCTGATTGTATTTCCATAAAGAAATGATAATAAATGTTCTTCCTTGAGCTGCGTCCCCACAGCAGATGGCAATGGACTGGCCTGAGGTTTCGCTACAAACAAGCGGCTGCTGGTAGAGAGTAGGTGAGTTGTGTTTAGTCTCTTTGCTAAGAAATTAGGCAAAGTTAAAAAGATGTTTGGTGGCTAGTACTATGTCTGGGACCCTGTATGTACTGTTGATGAAGTTAGGTGCTGTTCTGAGCATTATTTGTGGCTATAGAGTTGATTTTTGGTTGAGGTTTGTTTATGGCTCCTCAGACCACTGTGTGTCGCTATCATGCGGTCGTTTCTAAAGTTGGTATAACAACTAGGGGGTGTCTAACTCTGTATTACGTTGTGTTTAACCCTAAATTAATTTTATGCCGGAATATTCCTTTAATGGTGGTTCAAACATGCAGCTCAGACCAGCATTTGATCCCTGGTCCATTCATCCGCAAGGCCACAGCATCAACTTTTGCACCACCAGCCTACCCACTCGTACTTGCCTTTTCTGGTCCTTTGATTTCCTGCCTTTCAATGATGGAAGATAGAATGCACAAGGAAAGGATTCAATTACTGCTTTACATGTAAAGCCTCTGTCCTGGATTTGAGGCCAGAATTTTTGCATAGAGATGCTGAAGTCCCTTACTACAACACAGACGTGCCTTTCTTGACTTCACCATTGAAGTGAAGTAGTTCAAAAGCACGCATACACTTCATTGTGAGGAAAGCCAATTTTTTTTTGCCTGACATGGATAGTCCCCATCCTGGATTTTGAACCCTGGGGTCTTTGCAGTGAAGGGCTGCAACTTTCACCACTACACCTAAGAAATAGTGACTGAGCCTGCTTTTAAAGAACCATTTAACTTACCTTCTTATTGTAGGAGTTGAAAAGCATAGCTCGGATTTATGTCAGCCTGTTTCTCCTTGTCATTCAACCTTCATTGACAGGCAGTAGTCTTCTCCACTACACAACAGCATAGACTAGAAGCACTTACTTGTGTAGGTCTTTTCATTTTACCACTTCATTAAGGGAGTTTTCAACCACAGTAGGAGGTAAAGTTCTCTAACATGAAATGAAGCTTCTTGAAATATTACACAATAATATCAAAGGTTCCCATTGCCCATATCTTTCCTGTTTAATATACTTATATATAAATACATACATTTGTATAAGTCATTCTTGATTTGGCTTCAATCTGTGATTCAGCACAAACAAGCAAGCTGGTGGAGGCACAGAAAACAATGCAGTGAGGAGAAACGACCCATGAGACAGATAGAAAGTCAGAATTGATCGAGAGGAACAAAATAAGAAACATACGAAAAACACATGACAACATGCGTGATGTTAATATCAGCCCTTAATGTCCCAGTCACCTTTTTGTTGGCAGGAAGCTACTCATGCAGCCATAAATTTATGAGGAAAGCATTCCCCATGTTGAAAAACGACATTACTATAACTGTACCTCTGATACCCATGAATAAGTTACAGTGTAGTTTGCAGTACTCACTACTGACTCTGCGAGGAAAACAAAGTAAAATTCATTATTCAGATTGCCAGTAAATGTAATTTCACCTCTGGACATCCTGAAACAAACTGACTGCTCCCTTGATGTACAGTACAGCTAACAGAATTAAAAATAAGAAATGTGTTACAGATATTTAAGGGGAAAGAATAGATAACAGTTAAAGACTTGAGTAATCTAGTTAATAATATGGCATCATAAAAACTAACAACAGAACATTTGCGATCTTGCAAGCTGTTCTGAAAGACACAGTCCCAAAATTGCTTTGAACAACTTTGACTTTTCACACTGACAGCAGAGATAAAACGTTTCGGGGGGCCAGCGTTGTCAGCAGGTTGCACAGACACTTATGCGAAAGCTCTACACATCACTACACAGCCAAGCCGAAAGATACAACACTGCTGAGTACTCACATTGGCACCTCTCTTCACATATACACTATCATAAACTTTACAGTTAAATGCTTGGCTTCAGACATCTGTCGTGCTTGCCCTGCTGCATACAGTTCACAAACATTATTCCACAAAACAAGCATGGAGTTAACATGTCGGAGTTAGAACAGGGGGCGCTGTTTAGAGGGAGCTCTCTTCCCTACAGCATGATCTTTTCATAGTGAGCCCACTCCAGTAAAACATAAGGCCTCTCATCCACTGAAGCAGAGCGGCAGGCTGTCATGCTGACCTCCAAAGGTTATTCGGTCTAAAAGTTTGGAGAAGATTGTACTCAGTCCGTGTGATTTCAGGTTTGACATCAAGCCCCTGTGCAGGCACTAACAGCAGATCAGTGACAAAGATGAAAACACAAATAAAAACTTTACATTACATTGAAAAAAAAAAAAACAGAATATAAAAGAAGTGACTGCTGCTGAATTAAACTCAGAAGCTACAGTGGCGTTGAATGCAGCGGGAGAGTAAGAGTTTAAGGCAATACTGGTAAGCACCACACCACCATCAGGGGTAAGAGATTTAGTTCAGTACAGTAGAGCAGAGACTTTCTTTTTTTCACTTGTCCTGCATCTTTTCCAGAATTGGCACTATCATGTCAAACTTCGGCCTCTTCGCTGGATCTTCGTTCATGCATATCTTCATGAGCTTGCAAATGTGGGGAGAAATGCCGGGGGGGATAGTGGGCCTCAGGCCCTCCAAGGCAACCTGAGGGTCAAAACAAACAGAGACATTTGGTGCTGTAGAAGATACTGTATATACCTCCATGCCTTAAAGCTCTTTGTAACAGCACTGATATCTGTGAACATCTGCTACTCAGGTGGAGTGAAACTTGGCTCTACAAACCTTCATGCCTATTTCCATGTTGGACAGGTCAGCAAAAGGCACCTCTCTGGTCACCAGCTCCCACAGCAGGATAGCGAAGCTCCACATGTCTGCAGAGCGACGGTTTATCTCCTCTGGCTTCTTCTGCAGAGCTGGAAAACACAAACAGCAACAAATAAAGACACAGCCATAAGACATGCTTTGTACATGTTCATCTGAGATATACAGAAATACAGTGGATATGGGTTTGAAATATTATTGCATTATCTAAATCTTGCTTATGCTTTGAAGCCAGACTGTTTTGAATGAATGAATTTATTTATTTTGAACATGTGTGCAAAGAAATAAAATAAATAGAAAAATGCCATCTACATACAAAAAAAAACCATATCCATACACAATATAGCAAAATACTAATATATTTCAACATAATTTTTATTGTTTATTTATTTACCCCTTCGCTCTTACTCATGACACACTTCCTCTTCCATATACCTGTTCATAAACAGTTCTTTCAGCTTAGCTATAACTTAAAGTCTGTATCATATAAGCTAATAATGTGGAAATAATCATAACAGCTTATCAACCACAGAGCACACTTTACAACCCTGCAGCCTCTCTGTAGCTAAACGAAACTGAATATAGAGTACATAGGTAGCCCTCCATGTGTTCCAATTCCATGGCTCACTACCCGCAGCATGTATGCTACAAGCTTGTTTCTATGGTAACTGTCTGCAACAACTCCCCTGCATCCTACGCATCAGCCGCCAGCACGCTCCACACACTGCAGTGTAAACCTCTAACCTCCTCTGCGAGTTCCTGTTTCTGTACCATCAAAGGTCCCCTGTTTATTTTCACATTTTATAAATCTATTTACGTTTCAAACACGCTCACATTCCCCCACTTATCTCCCTGGAAATCAGCTGCAGATTAAATTTAGCTCTGAGAGAGTCTGGAGTCCCCTGCATCCATCATTCACGCTCCAGCTTTTGTGGCTTCAGCTGTCACTTTAGATCTGCGCTGTTTGAGTGACGCCTACCCTCAGGGGCCACCCATGCAGGCGAGTACATCCTGCCGGGACACTGGAAGGAGAACTTGACGTCGGCCATGCTGATCCTGGCTGTCATGTCCTCGTCTATCTGTGGAAAACAAGGGATGTGAAATTTTAGCAGACGTCTCTTCCAATCCTTCGATACATCATCATATCAATACAACATGATACAGTTTGACTCAAAAAATGATGTCTAAACTCCTTACCATAACACTCTTGCTGTTGAGATAGTGGCGAGGGATCATGGGTTCAAGTGTGTGTAAGAAAGCCATCCCACAGGCTATGTCCAGCGCAAACTTAACCGCCTGTGTCTGGTCCACTACAAAGTCTAGCCACATGATGAGGGACAAATAATACAAGATTTCAGACATTCTTTAGTCCCAGCACACAAAACAATGACAATGAAAATGCAGACATACAAAAAGTGACAGCTTAATGACAAGTGCACCTGTGCGGTAAATCAGAAAATCACAATAAACCCATCATAAAACGAGACAAGTGTGGTTTTTGTGACCAGAGGAGGAGTACTCACTGGTGCCTTCATGCAGCACATTGTAGAGGGAGCCATAAGGCATCCAGTGTGTGATGATGATGGGGTGAGGGGCGGGAGGAGACTGACATCCTCCCAACATGGGTAGGACATTCGGGTGGGAAAATATCCTGGGATTTAGCCCAAGGAGGAGGGACAGGGGAGAGACACACAGAGAGAGGCAAACCCACAGAGGATTTGACGTAAACAGACGGCTCATGTGAGATGCAAAACCTCCAAAAAGGAATAATACATAGAGTCACAATGTAAACAGATAAGTGAGTGAGGACAAGAACGCAGACGCTGGAGGAAAGTCCGGATTAAATGATAACCTGAGTTTGGGATACTCCTCGTTGAAGTCTCTGCTTTTTCTCGTGGTCCAGTCACGAACTTTTAACACCTTCACAACGATTTCATTTCCTTGCCAGCGGCCCTGCCACAACTGGAGAAAACGGAAAATGTTTTCAAAGTTTAGAGAGAAAATCAGCAGACCTACTCAAACGTAAAAGAGTGGAAACAGGTAGATACAGTACCTCTCCAGACTGGTTCTCATTTATTTTAGCCAGGAGAGAGAGCTGTTTATAGTCGATGCCTGCGTGTTTGTTCAGTGTGCCATTACCTGAAAATATAAGTTTAAAGACACGTGAGTGACAAGGTACAGCTCAGACAAAAGCTTCATTATTTATGTGACATTCACTTCAATGCTGCGCAGACGGAAAAGTGGAGGAAATTTCAAACACCACATAAAGACTGGTGAGACCGGCGCCAAGGTGGAAACTTTCATGCAGTGCTCAGACCAAACCGACCGATGGAAACTGGTCCGCTAATAAACTGGTGTATGTGTGTAAAACTCACGGGGTCTGGTTCTGGTGGTCCCTTTCCAGAATGTGTCCTTGAAGGGGATTTTAGTCAAGTTCTGTCCCATTTTCTCCGCTTTGTCTGTGCGGTGAAGGGACAGAGATAATGCGGTGAGAAAATGATCGGAAAGACGATGATTGAGAATTTGGATGAAACGGTTTTGTCTGGATACCTCTGAGGAGTTCACGCAGGTGAGGTTTGGCTTTGTCCATGGGGGTCTCCCCATATTTGTTGCAGATGCTAACCTGAGCCCCGTTAGTCACAAGGTCCTGAGTTCAAGTAAAGTCTGGTGTCAGCAACATTTTGATGCTTTATGTAACAGGAAATGCACAACAAGACAGACAAAGTGAAGCTCAAGACCACCAGGGGGCACACTGACCTCAGCCACTTGGTCTTGTCCCCAGAAGCAGGCGTAATGCAGTGGAGTGTTTCCGTGTTCATTGGCTGCATTGGTGTCTGCTTTGCACTGGATCAGCTAAAAGAGAAGCAGAAACAGGAGAAGATTAGATGATAAACAAAGCTGCTCAGGTCTTGTTTGGGCTGCAAACACGGACGAGTTTTACTGCTGCCAACAAAAATCATGGAGGTTCATCTCGCCTGTGGACACATACCAGAGGTATTGAGACATGCCTAATATTAAACTGAAAAGCTGCCTGGCAGTCACTCTAAATCAAACACCCTGAAGCTCTGATGCCAAATGATACACTTTCAAAACTAAATGTTCCTGTATCTCTGCAGAGAATAGAAGTTATTCATACTGACAAACATTTTAATCCTGTGGGTCACTGTGTTTGTTAAAAAAAAAAACAGAGCTGCTTCTTTTTAAAACCTAGAGACAATTGATGGAAATTAAGCCTCTAAATTAAACACGGTGTACGTATGTGCTGCATCTAAAAAGAAAAAATTGACATCCTGCAGTTATGTTTCCGGATACTAACCGAATAAAAACTACTGCTTCCACCCACACGCGCCTTTAAATAGTCAACTGTAAAAGTCATTTTGAGATATATAATGTCAAGTGACCACAGATTAAGATTGCAGACTGTATACTTGTCCTTTTGTGTAACCCCCTTTAGGAAATCTTCCAACAGCATCTAGAGGAGGAGTGTGTATGATGAATAATCTTTTAAACTCATGTTTCTGGGTCTCCCCTAGCAGCTGCGGTCGTGTGCAGCAGGAACTCAACTTATTCTTTTTTCCCTCAACTCTGACAAATTGCTGAGCACTCCCTTCAGGATCAAACTGCAAGAACTGACAAGACCTCTGTGTTCATCATCGCTGCACGGTGTCATCGTCTCAGTTTCATAACATCCTGTTTTTATGAAGCAAACTGGAGGAGATACATCATGATTTTGGGCGGTGAGATCGTGCAAAGGGTTTGGTATCAGTTTCATAGATCAGGATTCGATTTTTTTATGTATTTTCTATGGAGACGGATTCGACACACAGTACAAGATTTATCACAGAAACAGAAAGAGAGTTTTGTTCAAGGAGAAAGCTTATATCGTTCATCAGAGAAAGTTTCCCTGATGAGTCACATAATGCTCCTTAAACTAGACCAAATCTCTTCCAGCACTTCTGGGTTCATCCATCATCGTTTACACGTCCCCTACCTTTCCCACGATGTCTTTATGCCCATGGCTGGCTGCAAGGTGCAGAGGTGTGTCGTCGCCACGGTTCATGACGTTGATGCGGGCCCCTCTCATGATGAGCATGTCCACCACGGTGGAGCGGCCCTCCCTGCACGCCCAGTGAAGAGGGCTGAAGCCGTGGTCATCTCTGCAGAAGGAGAAGAGCGTTCATATTCAGCACATGTTCCACCAAAAACCTCCAACACAGCAAGAGCTTCAAATAACTAAAGGACGCACAGGAATGGTGGTTGATTTTTTAAAAGCAGAAAACAGTTACGCAGCAACTTTACCCCCACAGTTGAGCACATTTGGTTCTTCTTTACAAACAACTCTGTGGTGGGCTTGGGTGAAGGCCAAGAGGTACAGACTGGGGGGGTGTTTTTTAGGAACATTTGTGTTTTGCTTTGACGGTCAAAATACCACTCAAACCGAGTAAAGGGGCACTCAGAGAAAAGCACAGTGGTCATTTGGGCAGGGCTGACTGACATGTGCTGCCCACGTTAGAGAGTCAACGTCTGATGAAGAAATCAGATTTCATCACAGTCTGATGTAGGGCTGGGCGATGAACCGAAAATTTACAGATACCAAAATTTACAACAATAATCAACGTCATTTTGCCTATATCGGTATACTAGGTGTCAAATAAATAAGTAAATAAAAGTTTGTTTTGGATGTGTGTAGGTAGGCTATAGTCTCGTGTCTCTTTAAGACGCTGTCCTACATCAGAGACGTGACTCCACCCCATCCAGTCTGTAACAAAGAGGGAAAGACAGGTGAGGAGATGGAGGACGGTTCAAAAGTTGTAGCGGCTGAAGTAGACAAAGTTAATGTGGGAGGGGGTGAGCAGCTTGTGGAGTAGTTATTGCCCATTTATTGTTATCAAGGTGAACTGATCAATATATTGTAATATTGATTTGAGGTCATATCGCCCAGCCCTACCTGAGAGTCATTCCCAGCATACGCCAATAAACAGGTTTAACCACGTAACCATCACCTCAGCAGGATTTTCTGCTCGTCATGGATCGTGTCTGAACAGCAGATATGTAACACTGGGGTCCTGCTCTCCTTCTAAGTCCCACACTGCTCTTTGTTTCTATCATCTGTCCCCACTTTATCATGTCTTTGTGCTGCTGTAGGGTCATTTTAAAACCCTGTTTGTAAGTTTACAGTCAGCCATGATGTTGCTCCTGCAGTGCTCTGTTTACAACCATCTAGGAAACTTGTTCCTCATTTTATGGTCTGATTTCAGCTCTGTAGACTTCGCTCCACCTTTAATGGTCAGTATAAAAAATTCATGTTGTTTCAATTTGTCTGTTTTGGTTCTGGCATTCATAGTTATGATGCTGCTCAGTTGTGCTCAATCAGCTAAAGAGCACTGCGAACAGAATCATCGTAAAGATGTATCGATAAATCTCTGGAGGGGATCAATACAAACCGAGTCAGACCTTCATTACGGCCCAGAACTTCTTTTCTTCTTTTCTCAGACAACCTAATAACCGAGCTAATAAACTTGCACTTGAGCATATTTATCTGAAACGATTAGATTTAGTTTGTTTTCTCTTTGAGTTGAGGAGCTCATGTCGTCTTCCTGTAAAAAAAGGAAGTTGATTCAGCAGCTCTCAGGCTTCTGGTGCTCATCATTCCTCCAGGTTTCTGTGACAGTGGCAGCGACACATGTAGGACAGTAGCCTGGATTACATGGCAGAGTGAATGATGACATACGCCCGCAGAGAAAAGAGATAAAGACCCGGCGAGTGCTGAGTGACACGGAGTCAATCAGGAAGAGGATAAGAAGATACGGCACGCCAAGCGTTCAGTGCAGTCCTTATAAGGAGCAGTGAGACTTCCTGCAGCGTGCAGACGCTCCAGCTGCTGTGTGTGATTGTGTCATTCTTCATTTTTCTGCCTCTCCGGTCACGGTCACCTCCTCCTCCTCTTTTACAAAGTTTCCTCCCTTGTCTGAGTCTTTCCACTCCCACACTGTCTTATTCAATTCCATCTTTTCCCCTTTCTTTTCCATTGAAGCAGCTGCTCGGTAACAAAGATACACTCTTACGTTCCAGACACTTTCCAGACGCTTTACCATTTATTGTTTGTGCCGAGACACGGCACAATCCTCCTGCTAATAAAGTTATGCACTTGCTCTGAAATTATGTGTAGGCTGACAGAATAATAATGCGATCTGAGAACTGAGGGAGTATTATGATTCTGCAGGAATCTGACCCCCCTGCCCCCCCACCATCAATTCACTGGCCTGTATTTACACTTCCTGCAGAATTCAGCTCCGAACAGATTCAAGAGCCTCACAGAGACCCTCAGTCCCACAACACACATCCATCTGTGCATCTGGGTGACCTGCTGCAGCCACGCTACATCTGCTCTGTGAGCAATTTCCTCCGAGACCAAGAGGCCAAATCCTACAAACTAATTAGTCAGAGTTTAAGAGAGAAAAACCCTCCCCACAGACTCACTTCTATGATATTCTATTAGTTTCCTGTGATAAGCTCGGGGCTCATGAAGTCAAGGGCTGAATTTCTCAAAGCCTGAGTGTGTATCCACAAACCTGCTTTCATCGTGCTTTTCTCAACTCCAGAAGTCTCACAGTTACCAGCAAAGAGTTGAGCTATTGGAGTTAAGGTTGTCTCGATACGATATTGATATCAGATATCGTTCCGATATCAGCCAAAAACAAATATTGGACCGATATCGACCTGCATCTAAAATCTCAGATATCAGCACTCCGATAAAAGCAGTCCATTCTTGACTCCACTCCAGCATCTCTAGCCAGCAGCACCCGGATCCAGCATGAAGAGCCCACATGATTACAACAACAGTGTGTACTAAGGTACTAACAAAGTGGCAAAGAGTAGGAGTGATGTCGGCTGTGTGACAGTATTTTATGTTAAAGTCCGAAAAGACATTGCAGCTGAGTCTAAAACTTGTCATGCAGAAGTTCGTGCCAATATCGGATCAATATCAGTACGATACGGACGATACTGAAGGCTATAATATCGGTATCTTAGCAGACGTAAAAAAGTTGTAATTGGAGTGTAAGCTCATTTTGCAGCCCTAAATAAAGATCCAGAGCTTTGCACAAACCAGGCTTAGATGTTGAAGTTGCTAACTTTTGTCTTTCTACAGGATTTGATTATTTTAGCAGATAATTTAGTTCCTGTTCATGACCGACAAAAAAGAAATAACAGTTCTGCATCTTAAAACAAGCTGAACTGACACTTACAGCTGCTTGGTTTGCAGCCTCTTCAGATGTTTAGTCTGTGGCCACTTGAGTAAGATTAGAGACGTTTTTATTGTGTGACTGTTTTATTCGGGGTTTTACTCGTTGATCGTGTTTCCTCCAAAGAGAAAAAGGATGTAGCCTGAATGATGTGCAGTAGAAAACCTGAACTCTATTTGCTGAGCAGTTAGGCTCTCAGTCTTTCTCTTTCTGAGGCCTTTGTTAACAATCATTGAGAACTTTGAATAAGTGGCACATTGTTGAGTTTTACTTTATTCAATATCTGAAAGCCCAAATTAGCATTTAACTGATAAATAATTACAGCCCCCTCCAAAAAAACACACCAATTTGCATATATCTGTAGAGAATCCTCCACTTTCTCTTCAGTGAGGCCCGGCCCTCTGGTTCCTGTGTGTATTTCTATTCGGCGGCTCTTTTTATAGGATAGATTTCCCCTTTAAGCTGGCTTCATCCCCACAACCCAAAGGCACTTGAGTGCCAGGGTTTTCTCCTGCTCAGCCCCTCCACACAGGCTGTGGTAATTTATTTCAGGCACTTCCACCTGCCAACAGTGCTCAGTTTGGCAGACGGAAAAGCCAGAGGAAGAGCCCTGTCTGCACCCTGTATGTCTCTGCTGCGACATCCCCACCAGGTCATATAACAAGGCTCGGATCAGGGAAACAGACTCACAGACACCTCGAACAGATGAAACACAGATCCAGACACCGAAGAGGAAATAAAAGGTTTCATATCACTTTGTTTGAATGTGGTAAATCCATCTCTGTCTGTAAACGCAGCTGTTTATGGTGTAATACTTCAACTCTGGAGGCATGTTCTTTTCTTTATTCTGTCGCTTCATTTAAGTCAATCAATCCTTTATGTCGTACTACATAATGTGTATAGTATGTGAAAAGAAAAGAGCTGTACACTAAAGTTTGTACAAATATACAAGGTGATTAAAAACACGATGAGTCTGTTAGTTTCACAGCAGACATGTAAAGCTCTGACATTTGTTTCATGCCACTTTAAACCTCCACTTCATTAAAGGTGATCCAGGTCAGCTGATGTTGTGATCCGATGGGTGAAACAGACGTGCAGTGTTGCGCGCACAGCACACCCATTTCAAGAATCCGTTCAGGAGGGCATGAAAAACCGACTGTATGAGAGTTTCAAGTTTCGGATTGATTCAGAACTCTGTTTTGGCAGATACTCAATATGATAAATAAAAGATCAGGGTCAGGGGGACCAAAGAGCTGAGAGGAAGATCCCAGTCCAACATTTTCATCAATGAAGCATGCTTCGACCCAACAATAATCTCAGCCCTGTCTGTAACACACAAAGGAGAACATCAGAGCTGAACGAACTCAGCTGACCATAGAAGAATTAGTTAAAAATTAAAGATCCAACTGTGTAAGTTATCTCTCTGAGGATGTAGCCTTCAAATATCTTTAAATATAAAGTCAAAGTGAATAAAGCAGACTTCAGTTCAGCTCAGAATATCACCTCCTCTCAGTCATCTTTGTTTTCCTCTGAGGTTTGTACATCGCTAGGCTTACAAACCGCCACCGTACTCCGTGTCCAATGACCGTTTCATACTGTGAACGCGCTGCATCAGACCTCTGTCGAATGTGGTTAACATTTTCGATGCCTGTTCTTCCTCTAAAACTGTGACGACCTGCTTCAACAGGCCTCGAAAACCACTTCATAAAATCGACAGTCACCACAACAGAGTCACAGGTTAGACTGCTTCTTATATTATTGATGTAGTTAGCAATCAAATCTGTACACACACTTCAGAGATACTTTCTTCCTCGAGAGGGAGCTTCTACAGAAATGGTAATCATAAGCGCTCACTCAGTCCTGGAACCGTTAGTTCACATATATTAAGTTAAACGATCAGATAATGAGCAAACTGTAAACATTTTTGTGATTAACTCTTCTAAAGTTGGAGGAAATGTTGGGCGGAAATGAGTGGAGCTATCTAATACCGCTGGGAGAGGAATACCGGAGGCATGAAAGAGGGGAGGGGAAGGTGATGTGCTCCATTTCTCTGGTGAAAAAATGCACTATAAAGCCCGCACACACACACACACACAAAGATTCTCTGTCTCGTCACACATAACTCTTTAAGTCCTGCCCTGCTACAATAACCACCTCCCCCCTCTCTGTGAGTTTTGGTAGGTGGTAGATGGATCCCTTGGGGCCTCCGTGTTACTCCTTGTAAGGAGATTCAGCATTCCTCCACTACTCTATGTCAGGGAGTCACATCAGTGTAAACATTTTATCATCCAGGAGCTCAACGGTATTACAGGGCCGATTTGATGAGCTGATATACGGCGAGGGAAGAATTAGCAGCTTTGTAGAGAAATGAAGAGGTAGAGAGAGTTGTGTTTCACCCCCACTATAGGAAGATTTATCACCAGGAAAAGGGGACTTGACATGTAATCAGGTAATGGATGAGTCACATGTAAGAGCGCATGGATCCACAATGGCCCAGTGCAATCATTCAGTCTAACAACAACGAGGAAATTCAAGCAAATAAAGAAAAACAGAAGCATAAACAAAGCTGTGGTCCACACGAACAGAGAGGCCGCCAGACTTCCTCTCATTTCTGCACAAAAAAAGAGAAAGCTGACGGGAAACTGCGTCGACATTTTCATGTTGATTTCCAATCAGCGTTGATTCAAAAGCAGTGATCTGGAGAAACAGGCTCCTGGATGAGAACGCTGTGGGAAAGCAGCCACATCCTCACTTGCACTCTGCATTTCAACTGCCCTCACTGCAAACAAATCAATAACAGTTCTAAAAACAATCCGACCCGATGTTAATGTGATGAACGATCTCACCGTAAATAAACTAAAACACAGGAATAAAAACAGAGCGAGCAGCCCCAAGATACACAGTCATTATTAATTCAGTCCCTCAATGTTTGCAGTGAAAACAAACAGAGGTGGTCTGGATCCCGGACAAGTAGATCCACAAATGAAGTGTCAGTGGTGGTTCCTACGACTTCATTGGTAAGCTTTGCCAAAGTTTTTCTCACAGAGTCAGATGAGGATAAGGAAGCTGACTGATGAGCCTTAATTACCCGACAGTTATTTTGTATATCAAACATCTCAACTCTTAAAGAAGCCTCCAGTATTTTCTAAATACATGTTTTTTTTCTTGTATTCAATCACAGCATCAGCTACAAGCATGACTAACTTGACCATCACTGCAGATTTCCTGCCCGGCATCACGTTTTCGAGTTACTCCGCTGGCATGCGGGACATAAACATGCGCCCACAAGGAAATGGGTTCAGTCACAGGCCAAGATCTCGCTGGGGACTTAAAAGGCGGGCTCTGTGCCTGCGCCAGAAACTTAGCTTCACACAGCAATACTCAGGGCAGGCGATGATACTGCAGTGAAGGAGATATTCAGCTGAAATTCTGCTGCACTCTACTCAGCATCATAAATTCATGTTGCAGCAAGTCTTGCAGATTACAGCAAATTGTGCAACAGCAGTAATTAGCGGTTCAATCTCACACACTATTCTTATTTCTGCAAGTGAATTGAGGAAACTAGTGACATCCTAAATAAAAGATACATATTAATCTTTGCTCACCCTTGATTGAGATCGTTCTCTGTATTGTCCAACCACAGGCGGACTGCTACTGCATTGCCTTCCCGGCACTGGGTGAAGATATCATCCATGACGGCTACTTTCTTCTCTTACTGTGGTGTAACTGCTGGGGGAGCAGACAAGGAACCGAACTGGGATAGATGGGAGAGGTGACCCAAAGGGTTCAGCAGGGTCCTGGTCAGCATCAGTCCCTCATATGGGACAAGGGACACGATCAGACAGGTTCACACAACACCTGAAAAAGAGGACAGATAAAAAAAGAGTTCTTGTGAGGACACATTTTAATACGTCTGACCTCCACACAGACATATTCTTCTCTGTAATGATTCTGTATGAACAGTATAAAACAAGGAAGCTGAGCAGCTTCAACGTTGAGTAATCGTATCAAACTTAGGCGTATGTGTGGGAAGTTGACAGCGTGGTGACTCACAACACTTGGTCATGAAAAGTACCCAGAACACCAGGGTGGATAAATATTTTCAGCACATGGCAATTTATGTATTTTCTTCACTCTGCAGGTGAGATTACATCTGTTGTTATATCTTTACTCATTGGGGTTTTAAAGTTTAAATAAGGGCTGCAAAATACCTCAATATGGGCATTTGCATTAATAACTTAGCAAATATACTACTGTATACTGTGTCTCAAGCCCAGGTTGACAAGGTGATCTGTGGTCTCAAAAACTCAAAAGCTGTATTCTCCTTTCGTGCATCACAATCCTGGAACCAAATACCTAGTACCAACCATACGTGAACTCCCAACCCTCACTTCTTTTACTAAACATCTCAAGTCATGACTGTTGGACAAACAGACCTGCCATCATAATCATGTCTGAAATCATTTGTCATGTCTAATTGGCTAATTGCTTTAGGGTACCACTCTTAATTTGTTCTGACGTACATATTCTCATTCATGTATGCAAATTTGTTACTAAAGGGTATACATAATACATTTACTGTATACAAACTATGTGCAATTTTAGTCACACACATCAGCTACTGCAATCGTGTGCTATGGGCATCGTCCAATTCAATGTAATTTCGCACTTATGCACTCCTCACTTTAACAAGCTGTACTGTAGCAAACGGCACTTTAAACACCTTTAGCAGATGACACTATAGCACTTTACAATTCTCTTTTAATCTCTTTGGTCTCCTTACTATTGGTCACTTGGTTTTTGGTCTGTGTATGTTGTTTATGTATATTATGTGTATGTTGTCAGTGCATTGTTCTACTGTCTTAGTCATGTTGTTTGTACTTTTAACATTATTGCTTTTATGTTGAACATCAACCTGCCAATGGGACTGGGGATGGAAATTAGCCATTTGGCCTTAATCCCACATATTTACATGTAAATGTTCATCAATATGTACTGTTCCCATTTTAAAAATAGGAAATAGAAATAGAAAAATCCTCTAATCACAATAAATTATGAAACTCTTTCTGGTAAACAATCAGGGCTTTGTAGATGCATCTTTAGGAAACACAGATGTTGTGTGAACCGTGACGAAAAGCAGACAGACAGTAGAAACTTTTGCTAATGTGGACTATTTTATACTCATTTATTAACCGCAGTATTTATTGATATCATAATACAGAACAGTGTCATCATATAGCCCATTTTTATTTGTATGTTTTGCAGCCCTGAATTGAATGTTTGGTTTTCAGATCATCATGATCTGACAAAATAAGCAATAAAAATATTGTTTTCACCATGTTCAACCGATTATTAAATCACAGAAGTATTCGAAACATAATTATTAGCGATGGATACAGAGACATCCCAGTCTGAATGACACATTCACACCACTGGAACTTTCTGATCATTTAGTAAAATAAGGAACAACTTTATGAGTTAAAACTGACACAGATAAAGACAGAGGATCTCAGTTTTGGACTCAAACCTGGTCCCACAGTAATGAGTTCACCATGATCAACCTCCTGTTTCTCCAGCTTTAAGACGAGCTCTACTGCTAAAACAGAGGGAGGGACAGAGCTCTTCTTTTAATGGCTAATTTACGTGTTTATCAGTGTAACTCGATATAGTCCACATTTATTACACTACCACAGGTGAAATCGTTTTAATAAGCCTCCAAAGCAGACATCGTCAGAGAACCAACAGGCAGGTTAAGCTAACAAGCTAACCAACTGTCCTGACTCCGTGGGCTCACTTGACTCTAAACGCTCGCTCTGAGGAGATAAATGTTCAATTATCCGCACAAATCGTCAGTAATTTTGCCCGTTTACCAATAAACTTACCGTGTATATTCGTCCGTTGCGGTTTAACGCGGTTAAAGGCAGCAGAAGTTGTTAGCAGTGTAGATTGGTAGATTGAACAGAGTGGGACGTCCACACCCTCACCACTACCACCGGCCTCCGTACATTATTACGTGGTCACGTTCAGGAGAGTCAGAGAGCGCCCCGCCCCCCACAGGCAGCAGGGAGAATTACAGTCATGATGAATATTCACAGCCTCAGGTCATACTTTTTATAAACATCAGCACAGGTTGACAGAGGGATTATAAACATGCCCTGAAGGAAAGGGAGTTTTGACAGAGATTCAAGAGGCATTTTTATTTTTTATTATCAGCAAAGCATTAGTAAAAGAGAACACATAAAGACTTTTTACTGTAGTGAAAGTAGTCTGAAAATGTAGTGTTTTTTTGACATACTGGGGTATGTCCTACCCAGGTATTTCCTGGGGTTTTCACCCGTGTTAGTTTTAAAGACAGGGAAAAAAACAAGAACAGTGTTTGGGCACTATGTCAGAAAAATGATATCAATCATTACTATTTAGAATTGAGAATACGTGTTACTCGAAGACATTTTTGATCAATTTTGGAGATACACATTGAATTGTTTTAACGTGTACAGAGACAATAAAAATAACAAAATCAAACTACTGATAAAGTAAAATTAAATTTTTTTGCATCATTTAGTTCCGTTGTGGCTTTTTAAAAAAAATCAAATCTCCACTTTTTTTTTTTTTTTTTTTGCAGCGGGCTTTGGTTTCATTTTTTTTCACCTGTAACTTCTGGGTTTTTTTTTTTTTTTTTTTTTTTTGCATTCTTTTTTATTTGCAGCAGTGGCTGTTCTTGGCCACCGTACTACACAGATGATAAAAATAACAAAATCAAACTCCTGATAAAGTAAAATAATCAACAAAAAAAATCATATGGTTCCAAATAATTATATATAAACATAAATATTATTCTCCTATCCAAAGTTGTAATAAAAGTGATCCGGACCCACTAGCTCAACGACACATACAGAAAACTTCATTTCCCACAAGTCTGTGTTTTCCTTACGTCATCAATATGCACCAGTCGTTCTGTTTTGCTTCCTTCGCGCACATGCGACAAATCAACGTGGCTTTTCTCTGGTTTTTGAAATAATCTCACTTTGTCAAATATAATGAGACTTTTATGAGATAAACATTATTCAGAAATATCGACAGCAATCAAAGAAACCGTCTGAGGTCCGAAGAAGCGGTAAGTAACCGAATAATCTCGTAGATAGAGAAACTATTATCACAGTGATTGGGGTCTGTGTGTTCTGCAGCAGTGATTGATTTGAGTGTTTCGTTTCTTGAAGTCCTCGAAGAAACATGTTTGTTGAAGAGGAAGAGTGGAGTGATGAAGAAGGGGCTCGGGTCCTGAGTAAAACTGTCCTCAGGAAGGAGCAGAAACCTGAGAACAGCAGCAGCTCAGGTGTGAAGGTAGGAGTGGACTCCAGGAGTGTCTCATGAAAACTGTGTTCATATCGGAGATACTGAGGCTGTGATGACCCACGGTGGGTGTCATACATTGGTGTAAAGCAGTGGTTCTCAACTGGTCTCACTCTGGGACCCACATTTTCCCATGGCCCTGAAGTCGTGACCCACTTTTATAGAATTCAAATCAAGCACATTTATTTTTTATAAAGAAAAAAAACCTTTAAAGACTCTAATCTGTAACATAAATCCACATGTTTTATTGAATAAAGTGCATTTCAGAGCACATGAAGGGGAAAACATGAGGACGACACCTACTGAAGTTACAGAAAATATCAAACATCTAATAAATATCGCATTAAATATTAACTTTTTTGACCTGCTCTCGTGACCCATCCAGAACGTGTCTGCGACCCACTTTTGTGTCGGGACCCACCAGTTGAGAACCACTGATGTAAAGTAACCTGAACTTTGGTGGACTTTAGAGTTTCTTGTATCTTCTCGACTGTTTCCTTTTATCCTTCTATAGACACTCACTTTTATTCAATTTCTGTAAAAAGAGTGTTTTACATCAACTCAACCTCATCTTAAACCAAAAGTTCTTTTTAAATGAAGTTTTTTATTTTGTTTTATATGATCAGTCAGGTCCAGAGTTTACTGAATTGGAGGTTATATAATGACCGAGTTGTACAAGGCATAACATTCACAGCAGATATTTTGCATAATGAGTAACAGCAATTTTTAATTATTTCCCCATTATCTTTTACATTGATTTTTATTGTAATTTGCACTTACTAGGGGGTTATTTTTCTCTGCTTCTGCTACTTTTTGAATAAATTAATAATCTGCTACTTTTTCCAGCTTATTCACTAAACACAAAGTTGTTTCCAAGTCTGATTTGTACAGAAATTTAACCCTAAGAAAGACATAGATAAATAGTATAACACCATAACATGTTGAACAAAATCCCCTTAAAATCTTTTGCTTCTTAATAACCTGAATTAATTTCCCTTCTCAGCCCAGGGCCGTCGGTAAGAAGAGCCTGATGCGGACTCTGCAGACGCTGGGATCATTGCCAGAGTGGAAGAGGGATGAACATCAGCAGGACAGTGACAGTGAGACGGACGCAGCCCTGTCACCCAGCAAGAAGAAGAAGAAAAAGAAGAAGCCAAGAAAGAAGAGAAAGCAAGCAGAGACGACGGGGCAGTTTGAAAACGGAGACTTAGATCAGACTTCAGTAGAAGAGAAGACTTTGACAAAAAAGAGGAGAAAAGACAATAAATTTGGTGAGTATTAAAGGGTTAAAGCTGCTTCATTAAAAGGGTTTGTAGAAAATTGAATTCGCTCTGAAAAGTGATGACGTTCATTGAAATTGACTGTAACTTATCTCTGCTTTAGGGGACCAGAAGGTAGAAAACACCTGTGCGGGTGAAACAAAGGGTGAAGAAGATGGAAAGGCAGTCAAAGCAAATGTAGATACAGCAGAGGACACAGAGAGACTGAGCAGACAACAGTGGAAAAACAAAATGAAAAATAAGAGGAAATGTAAGAATAAATACCGCCAAGAGGAGAAGTCAGAGGAGGAAGTCAAAAAAGCTGAAACTGTGGAAGAACCCAAACCAAAGGAAAATATCAAAACAGATACAAACAACAACAAAAGTGACAATAACACTCAGACATCAGCCCCGAAAAGAGGAAAAGAACATAAAGCAGAGAAAAGAAAGATGACTGAAGAGGATGCTGAAGTTTCCTTCACAGCAGAAACACAAACGCACAGAGAAGAAAAAGGGATCAAAACTCTAAAAGGATCCAAACAGGAGGAACGTGAACCTAAAGTGGAGATAACAGCTGAGCCACAGTCACCCGTAAAACCACCAAAACCTGCGCTGAGCAAAGAGCAGAATCTGAAAAGAGAGAGGCTCCGCAGAATTCTCCAGAGCCAGGAAAAAGATCTGCAGCCGAGTCCCGCTGAGCAGAGAGATGAACCAGCAGCACTAGAACCAGCAGTACCAGAACCAGAGGTCAAACTGGACCGCTCTGCCTCCCTCAGGTCCCGCATGGAGCAGCGTCTGGAGTCGGCCCGTTTCCGTTACATCAATGAAGTTCTGTACAGCACGACCAGCGGCGAGGCCAGGCGGATGTTCAGACAGGATCCAGAGGCCTTTGGGATCTACCACCGAGGATACACGGCGCAGGTTCAGAGGTGGCCCAGCAACCCTGTGGACTCCATCATCTCCTTCATCCAACATAAGTGAGCCTTTATCATCAGTACTATATCCATCCATCTTATCCAACACTTATTATCGAGTGTTATTTCAGTTATGATGAAGAAGATCAGGATTTTTGTTGGAGTTTTTCAGCTTTTATTTTAGTGGATAAAAGAAGAAACTGGAGAGGAGAGAGAGAAATGAAAGGCAGAGAGTCAAAGTTGAACCTTGGTAACTACGCAGATGAACAGGTGCTTGAAAAAAATAGGATTCAAGTTCACAGAATCAAATTTACTTTTTGAAATGAAACTTTATCCTCAACAACATTCATAAGAGAGAGTATTTAAAAGTCCAATCAAACTTTGAGTTGAGCTGCGTCTCAAGGTCTTCTACAGCAGATGGAGCTGAGTCAGATGACCTCTTTGTGTTAGGAAGACCTTTAAGCACCAAATAAACTCTTAAGTCCTTCAGTGTAGTTGCTGAGCTAGCTGGACTGGCTGGAAAAGGTCATGCGATTCAAAGTTCAAACAAGCTAGCCCATGGTCCAACACACTGTTTTAGATTAAGATCCTGAAAGTGATGAATGAATCGGTCTCATAAACTGTGGAGATGTGTTGACTGTCATCCTCTTTCCAGTAACAGGATCTATAATGGAGTGAAAGACAATCAGACATCTTGAACATTAAACCAGTAATTTTGTATTTGACTCCGCTCAGGAGCGAGGAGTAATGCTGCAGATGATGCGGCTCTGTGGGCGTTTAATTGCTGCTTCATTTAGCTGCTGTGAGAGGGTCCCGGAGTAAATGTCTGCAGTTTAGGAGATGAAAACACTCATTTGTGCTTCTGCTCTCTGTGGACTGTAACAGAGAATTCATCTCTTCAGATTAATTGAGGGGTTTCATTTATTCCAGACCTCCCTCTCTGGTGGTGGCGGACTTCGGCTGTGGTGATTGTAAAATCGCGCGCAGTGTGAAGAACAAAGTGCACAGCTTCGACCTGGCAGCAACGTGTGAGCTCGTCACAGTGTGTGACATGGCCAACGTGAGTGTGTACTTGTTTCTACAGTCTGTATTATCATTATTCTTATTATAGCATTATTATACGGTCTTTATGAATCTTACATCCTCTGTGTGCAGGTCCCTCTTCCTGACAGCTCCGTGGACATCGCCGTCTTCTGTCTTTCTCTCATGGGAACAAACCTGGCAGATTTTCTGGCAGAGGCTAATCGTGTTTTAAAGATGGGGTAAATTATAATGATTTTGCACAGTGAGTTAAGTTTCCTGTTTGTACTTTCATTTATATTTTATATCTTTACACCGTTTGCACTTTTCCAGGGGAATCCTCAAAATAGCAGAGGTGGCGAGCAGGTTTGAGAACGTAAGAAGTTTCCTCACCGCGCTGGCAAATCTGGGCTTCAAGATGGTGTCCAAGGTGAGGCAGTGAACGTGGCGTTTTTACTTTATAAAAATTGATCTGTTTTGAAATTTCACAGAAATCCCAGTTATGATGGAGCCAGAAGTTGGTCTTACTTGTATCAATTTTATGAAGTTTTTCAAAGTATTTTTAGAGGTAAATGTGTCCTCTGTTTTCTTTTTAAGAAGTCAGTGTATTCAGAGATTCGACTGTTTTTTCTCTCTTTCCTCAGGACACAGAAAACACTCATTTCTACGCCTTTGAGTGCGTGAAAATAGGAAACGCTCCAGAGAATGTGAAGAAGTTTGGACTGGAGCTGAAGCCGTGTGTCTACAAGAAGAGATGATTGAAGGAGAGGACTTGAGGAGTTGTACATTTTTAATCAAAAAGTTCATATTTTCAGTTATTTTGTTCACATATTTCAGACTTTATGACTATCTGTAACATTGTCCAGATTTTTTCATATATTAGTTTTTCTTTGTTTAAAGATAAACACTGAAATATTCCTCTGTGGTGTTTTCTCTGAATTAAAAACACATTTATAAATTTAGATGAACAAGGACCATTTATTTTAAGATTATTCTTAACATAGAGAGTCATTGTTCTGAAGTGTGAATGATTAAAACATGAATCACTCAGTTGTGTGTGTTGCCACAAGAGGGTGTAACAACACTGCAGCTGAATGTGGGCAGATGAGCAGAAGATGAGTCCGACCATGAGATTCAAAGAATTTACCACATGTTTATTCACAGTTTTACAACAGACGGGAAATCATGAGTGAGCAGATGGTGAGAAGTACAAAAAAAGCAGCCAAGTTATCTTCTCTCAACATGGCAGCAAACGGCATAAAAGTGATACTACTTTGGTCTTTCTATTCACAGATATCAGTTAATGCTCATGCATCAAAACAACAAAGTTCAAGTACGCTAAAAAAAAGTGCAAAAACATCACATTTGAAGAATTAATGCCAATCAAACAAGGAATCCTCTCGCTGCTAATGCTAAACTCATTAGAAATACACAAAATGAAAACGCTCCAGATTCATTCAGCCTTATTTCCAGCCTGCAATCAGAACATCTGTGTGTTCAAACGTTACTCTTGACATCGATGACTATGGAGTAACTGATGAGATGAGCGTACTCCTTACTGTCCTTTCCTGTCTCAGGGGGGTTCTTGGACACAGGGGAGGAGGGCTCCTGCACCAGAGTCGTCAAGGCTGCGAGAGACTCCCGCTTCTGCAGAGAGTGAAACCAGAAAAAGACGTGAAACTACACTGAAAACTCAGAGTCCTGATTATGTTTCTGAACAAGTATGAAAGACGTATGAACCTTGTAATTCGGCGAGCTCGCTCTTTTGCTGTAAAATGAAAAAAGAAGACAGATTTCATTAGTCATGAATGATCATGTGAGGCTGGCTTACACCACAAGATGGCACTGTGACTCAGTCTCAGTCAATTCAGACAAACTTCAGCTGTAATGGCATTTTTATGAGAGAGGATTTTCAGTAAACAGGATTTTCAGTGCTGGCTTGAGTCCCCATCATTGATCTGTGATGTCAGAATCAGCTGATCGCTCTGTACATGGTGACCTCGGTGACATCAACCTGCTGCTGCTGCTGTCACAGAGTGTCCCTGCTGCTGCTGCTGCTGCTGCTGCTGCAGGAGAGGGCGTGGAGGCCAATCCTGAAATAGCTTTTCTCCCGGGGAGTCATGTTTTCTTGTGTACGCCGTGTGACTGACCTTCCCAAATTAGCCTGACAGGACCCTCCCACCGCAGCGAGGGGATAATGGGACCCGGGCTCTGTCACCCAATGGCACCTTGACCAAATGTTCTGACCAGTGGAGAGGACCTAATAAAAAAGCTCGTGGAGCTCCATTGTGCAGGTCGGTGGAGCTTCTCCCTCACAAAGACCTGATCTGATCCTGACAAACGTTACTCTGAGAAATTAGATCTGGCAGTGAACGTGGAAATGTGCAAACTTCTGCCGGCAGAAACCATAAACAGTCCTCCGATTGTGACAGACATCCCACATCAGTGATAAAAGAGGAGTGACTCACTGATTTTTCTCCAACAGTAATAAGATTAAGAGTTGGATTTAGGGATTTTTTTGTCATTGATGAATGTCAGCTTGAATTTCATTATGCTAATAACTTCCGAAGCTGTGGACTTTTTGAACTTTACGCCTCTGCTTCTGCAGTGTTGCATTGGCAATAACAAGCCGACTAAAAGCAGTCTGCAGGAGAAGCGGCCAGAAGTAACACTACTCGAAGCCAGAGCAGGAAACCGGCGAATAAATCAAGTCTACCTGTCTGCGCGCAGACCTGCGGTGGGACAGGCACCTGTCTGCTCCAGCCACACTGCTTCCTGTTTGTGAATATTTGCATGGTACTGAGGTTTTGGTTGGTTGGGTTAATGATCCGCACATCCTGTTTGTCTTCATTCGTACGGCGTTGGCAGCGTTGCCCTCATTTCATTGTCAACCAATCACCTGCAGAGCTGCAGCCTGTTACCTGTGGAGGCATTTGACTCACCAGCACACCCAGAGAGTGACCATGAGGATGAGGAGGATGGCTAAGGCTGTAGACATGCAGATAATGGTCATCAGTGCTGGAAAACAAACGGACATATTTTTATAAATAGAAGTTGTATGAAAGTTTCTGTGACTCTACAAGTTGAAAGTAAGAGGAAAACTCACCAAACAGTCTGTCCTGACATGAGACCTCCACCTGAATCTTGACTGTGGTTGAGTGGTGATAGAAGGAAGCCCGGCAGGTGTACAGACCCTCATCCAGCTCTGTCGGCTCTGATGGGAAGACCATCGCAGCCCCGTCCATTTGGACAAACGCGCCATCACTCCTGAAACGCACGTCCGGTTTCAAATAAAGAAAAAGTTGGTCTTAATTATATTGATCAATTTTCTTTTAGTGAACTTGAAACAACATGAAAACACCCAAAACCCCGCTGCGCGTACGTTTCTGATTCCCCTGCTCTGTTTGTGGTGCTCAACTTGAAGCTCATCTGCTCCCACTAAAAACCACAAATCCTCAAAATTGCACAACAGATATGAAGCGCCATGTTTTTACGATGGTTCAGTAACATCTCTGTGAGGCAGCTTTTATGAAGTGTAACCGAAACATGCAACACGAGTAAATGTGTATCAGTTTTAAATGGCATTTGTTAAGTGAAATCTGCTGTGGTCGAGTGGGTCTGTACTCCTTTGATCAAACAATTCATGGTTTCATCCCAGTCCATATGAACCCCAATCAATAATTCAGGGTTCCTACACAGTTGGAATTTCCATACTTTTCCATACCCTACTTTTTGGAAATACTACTTTTCTATTTTAGAAAACAGTATTTTCCAACTGTGGTAATAGTCTTAAACCTAAATATTTTTCCATGCTTAATTTTTCCTTTTCCAGACTTTTTAAGACCTGAAATTGATTAAATTCATTCTATACTTTTCCATACTTTCCATACTTGCAAAGGAACCCTGAGAAGAGATGTCCACCCTCTGAAAAGTAGACTTATTTGTCACTCAGTACTTAGTTGAGGCTCTTTTACCATGAATTACTGCACCGCAGGGTGTAGCATGAAGGCATCAGTCTGTGGCACTGCTGAGGTGGTGTTCAGCTAATCTGTATTCTTTCATTTTTGAACTGTATTGTTTATTTTCTTACTCTTGGCAAACATTCTCATTGGGGTTCAGGTCAGGCGAGTCGGCTGGCCTATCAAGCACAATGTTATCATGGCCATGTGGGAGTTTTGGCGCTGTGGGCAGGTGCTTCATCCAGCAGAAGAGCTCCATCATCTCCTGATAAACATTAGACTTGTGAACCAACAGCAGCAGATGACTCAAGTCATCACTCTGGGCTCCAAACACTTTTAGTTTGGTGCCTTTGTGTGTGTTTTCACATTATACTGTCGGCCATAATTATCCAAATTAAGATTGAAAACACTTCAACAAGTTAGTTTGCATGTAACAAGATGCAATGTGTGTAAAAAAAATCAGGTTTCATCCTGATGAGCAAACCTGACCGCATGAGTGTAGCCCCACTGAGAGAAACATGAGAATACAACAGTTGTTTCGGGTCGGAAAAAAGCACTTTAGTCTCCACCACAAATGTCTGTCTCTGCAGGAATCTCTTTAGCAACATTGACAGAAATCCAGAACAACAATCTGAACCCGTCTGTGGAAAATATAAGAGCCTCTAGTCCAGCACCTGACAGCAATTTAGACCCAAAACATGCAACTTTTTCTCCCTCTGAGTTTTTGAAAGTTTAGTGTGCCTGCAGGTGTTTTCTCATGATGATAATATCGTATAAATCTGAGGATTCACCACCTTTTACACTCCAGGTTGTACTCTGGCACGTTGCCTTTGACCTTCAGCAGGATTCTCTGGTTATGATGATTTGCGTCGAGAGATAGTCTGTGTACGACGGGTTCACCTCCGTGGCGGTCTTGCAGGGGAGTCGTGTGGTTTAGGACTCTCAAAGAGGAAATATCTGCAGGAAAGTCAGTCAGAGATGAAACTTACATTTGATCAGTTTGAAATGTGAAACTTGTATGATCTGCGTTCAACCTACGATATTTGGGGATGTGGATGGTCTTCTGCTCTGTGGCTCCATGCTTCAAACGATACACACAGGTCAGGTTCTGCCCCTCGTGAAGAGTCAGAGGAAACTGATAAGTCAGTCTGGCTTTCAAGACTCGGCCTTCAGACTCAGAGTGCAGAGATGTTTGCTCTTTGGCATTTTCAGGAAGAACCCAGGCGAGGTTTGCCCCGACACCCTCCCCTCTGCAGTCACACACAGCCAGCCAGAGCGGAGAATCTTTCTGCCTCACCACCGACACACTCAGCTGAGGGGCTTCTAGAAAACAAAACAGGGGATGACAGGAAGGAGGATGAGCAGCTGTGTGAGTCAGAGAGAGATGTGTGAAAGAAAGAAGAAGAAGAAACGTACTGTGCAGAGGAATGTGGATTGTTCTCGTCTCTGCTGCCTCCAGGCTGGGATGCTCCACCATGCAGGTCAAACTGTGACCAGAATACAAAGACGATAAAAAGTGCACAGAGCTGCGAGAGGATACCGAACCATCAGAGCGTGTTTCAGTCTCTGATCCAGACGGGATGCTGTTGTCAGTGTCTCCTACATGCCAGGTTATGTTTGCTGCAGTAAAAACACTTTCCACAGAGCACTCCACCTCTGTGTACTCATCACCACCTTCCCACTCGGTGCTGATGTTGATGGTGATGTTAGGGTGAGCTGAGGGGGGGAACGAAACCACAGGATCAGAGGGGTTTCTTAAGGGGAAAAGATAGAATCTATGGTGTGCTTACATTGGCAAACATGTCTGCTACTTAGACAAAATCAACCATTACTCGATTTGTTGAACATACCACAAAGAGGGAGTGTTACACTTCTGTTCTGTGGCTCTTCGAACGCAGGGTGATTTATCACACACTCTGCGGAGAGCTCCCGGGGCGAGCAGGCAGGGAGGAGTAAAACTCCTCTGACTGAGTGGCTTCCATTATGAGAAGTGAAATTGAACCAAGAGACTTCAGACACACCCTCCGGCAGGAGCCAGGACATGTTGGCTGCGGGAACGGCATCAGCTGCTGAGCACTCAATCACCCGGTGTCCATCTTTGGTCTGCATATCCAGCCGTATAACGGGAGGAACTGAGTGGAAAGGGCGAGGAGACGGAGGCATCAATATTTCAGGGTCTGAATCCAGGAAATTCAGGATGTTATCATAAAATATCGTAAGAGGAAAATTTCCAGCTAGCGTTTCTCACCAGGTTGTAAAACTCGAGGCTGAACGGTAACATTAAACTTTAGTGCAGCTTGAAGATGGCGATAAGAGAGGAAACACTCGTAGAGGCCGGCGTGCTGAAAACCCACAGCACCCTGAAACGTGAGGTTACCACCAATAACCTCCACATCCTCAGACAGGGGCCCATCATCTCTACAAGAGAAGTTATTAGAGGGAAATTCAAGATCATTTTCAACAAATATTATAAAGATGAGTTAGACGGTACAGATATTATTATTTCAGTCAGGAAACGTGACTAAATCTGGTTCCTGCAAGTCTGTCACTCGTGGTTTGATGCAACTGAACATAAGACCACATCCTCCTCAGGATATGAAGGTTGTCTCGATCTTTTAAAAACATGTGTGGGGGGAAAAAAGGGCATCTGTTTAAGTTAAAAAAATAAAAAGAGAAAAGAAAAAACACACATTCACAGATGAGAAGTTTCCAGATTTGGCATCAGGCTCCTCTCTGCATGTAGCATGTTCAGACTAGAAGAAATTTTCTAAACTATTGATTTTTTTTAATAATTGTATTTTTATTTAAATTAAAATGTGCAAATAAAGTCAATAGTTTTTGCTCATTTTTTACATAAAGATAAAAACAGAATAAATAAACATGATAATGAAATTAGAGTCGTCATAGTTCTTCAATTGTTGATTTTAACTGTCAATAAAATAAGGACTGCTTGAAAATGATCATTAAAGGGACATTGTGCAGAAATGGGAATATTCAGTGATATCAAGCAGCCACTCCCCCGCTCAGCCCTCCTGTCACTGAGGTGACGGCAGCCTTTGAGGACAAAAAGCTCCTACAACTCTCTTCTACGAATGCCAACAGGTGAATTTTGCACGGCTAACTTCTCTGCTGCTGAATAATATCCACGGTCCCTCTAGGGCAGGTGAGGCCCACCTTTCCTCATCAATAATGACTATCTGTGCGGTAAAAATTTAAAAGGAGCAAAGTCGCAAAGTTCTCTGCATAAAATGAAGCAAAATATCTGACAAACTGAGTGATAAAAGACCGCAGAGACATTTGAAATGTAGAAGTGAGAACATTTTAGTAACTAGATCAGAGGACCGCCGGTGTTTAATCTGAGCCGCTGGTGCACCAGGACCCTCCTCTGACCCTTCAGAGTCGCATCTTTAAAGCACTGATTTGTCTGTTTTTACCAGAGAGTATTGTCAAATTAAACTTTTGATAATTTACAAACGTTTCAGTAAAAAAAAAAGAGTCGACAGTTATGTTTACGTAGCTCCAAAAAGGGCACAAAACGGACTTGAACCAAAGCAAAGTACGACTATGATGCAGCACTTTGTAACCTGATTTTTGAAAAGTGCACTATAAATAAACTTTAATATTGTAATAACATTACCAACTCTAATTGTGTTCAACTTGAGGCACTGGAATAAACTAATTTAACGAGTAAAAATAAGACAAATTACTTGATTTGTGAACTCTGGTTTAAATCAGGTACTGATCAACGAGCAGCTCAGAGATAAATGGATGTATCAAGCCGTATAAAGTTATTAAAAGTAGCTTTAAATTAATTAAAGGACAAGCAAAGTCTTCAAGAATAAGACAGACAAAAAACAGGCCCAAGACTTCCCGGCCTCTTTTCTCAGCCTTTTACTTCCTGGTAAAGACTTGTTGTCTTTTTAACGTCAAACTGTGACTTGGCACTCAGACTCTCTGCCGTATATTCACTCACTTTTTGCAGGTTATGTTATAACGTGGCACATTCCCAGAGACCTGCAGATGGATGGTGGTGTCTCTTTGTCCTTCCTGCAGCTCTAAAGACTCCATATTTTGGAAGTCATCGCCGTTGTTTGGCAGCTCTGAGTGCAATAACTTAATTCCTGAGATGTCTGCAGATGGAAAAGCACATCAATCTTCCTGAAACCACATTATTATCTTCAGAGTTTTCTGATGATGAACCCCTGATGATACTCACGTAAAGATGGCAGGGTTATGACTCTTGACACTGTGTGTGTAAACTTGGGATGGTCAAACAAGCAGGTGATGTTGTGGCCTTCATACAGACTCACAGGGAGAAGGACCGAGCTTGTTTGTGTGTCTGAGTCCGTGTCATTCTCCCTCTGCAGCTCCTCTTCTCCGTTCAAAGCCAAGGAGATTCTGGTATCAGGTCTCCCTCCAGACGAAATACAAGAGACCACCCAGAAGTCACTTCCTCCTCGTTGTACCATCTCCGCTTTAGTGGTCACATTCGGCCTTGCTGCAGAGCCGGAGGACAGGCGAGAAGAGTTATTCTTTCACGAGCTCTAATGTTTTTCCCAGCAAATTAAAAAGTCAGATAGCAAGTTGAAGCTGAGGGTGTTTTGGTTAAATAGGAAGCTGAGGCCGGATGAGTTTAATGTTAGCTAAACACGAGCCGTGAGGGGCTTCTGGAGAGTGCTGACTTAGGCTTATCACCTGTCCCATCTGTTGGCTGGGCTGCAGCTGAGAGCAGATGTCTGGCCCAGCTGCCGTCCAACCGATGCTGAGAGGAACCGCAGGATTTTGTACAGGGACTCGGCCGAGATCAAGTCTATTATCAAATACATAAAATCTGTGGTGTCAAGCTATAGCCAGAATATCCCAAATGAGCGAGACAAGTGAGCTAACACCTCGTAACAGCTCAGGTGTTTGGAAAGAGGCGGTATGATTAAAGTGCGTTAAAGCGCTTTAGCTTTAAAACTTCCATCTGTTACGGTTTTGTGTGTGGGTCTAACCGCTGCAGTCCGACACTTAATTTAGTGGGGTGTTAATGTAGAACGGACAAACGAGCTGGCTGGCCTGGCGTACGCTAAATGGGTCGTTAACATACAATCTGTTACATGAACGGTCGCTGCGCCCATTGCAGGGGTTTGGATGCTCTGCTCCCCTAAAGTGGCCAAAGAAGGCGAAAGCTCAATTTCAAGTAGAAGGCAGCGGCATGTCACCACAAGGGGGCAGTCCAAACACAACCTGAAATGAAAACCTAAGTATTGATTTCTTTTTTTAAGTCAGTCTCACTTTGGTGGTAAAACGAAGATAATAAACAAGACTGAGAGATGCTCAATTGGCAATCTGCTAGACCACGTTTAATTGGATGTGTTACTACGCTTTTTTTGCGACCTCTCAGAAACACAAGAAAAGACCAAACCTCTAAATTCCACATACTTATGGCCTGTTTTATGTTCAATTCTCGCTGGCTTTGTGAAGACGTGACGGTTCGGTCAGGTTAAAGCTCTTGAACTGAGTCTATCCCCCCTCGTTTATAGTTTTAAGATTTGGTTCACCACCATGTAATGCCTGCATGTTAAGGGCTCATGGTCAACAGGGCGCTGTTGGCCTAGTGGTTTGGGTATGTGCCCCATTTACAATGGCAGCAGACCTTGTCCACCCCAAACCCTGCTCCCCACATGTCTTCTCAGTTGAGCTATCTAAAAAAAAAAAAACATAAAAGTCCAAAAATCTAACTGAGAAGAAAAGAGTTCATGGTCTGTTCGCCCAGAAGAGGCATAAATAATATCCTTAAATAATATCACGGTGTGCACAAACTCTTAAAGGAAAGTTTTAAAATGTTCAAATCCCTTTAACAGTCCAGTTATACAAGAGAAAAAGGAACATGAGAGGTTAACGCTGCACTCACTGTAGTAATTTATTGCTTATTAATTAGACACCAGGAAGGTATTGCATTATACTCCTCCATACATCCGTCACCGATGAAAGAGTGCACACTCCAGTTATTGCAAAGCTTTGTACAAATTAATTTACATTCTCACACTGTGCATGAGGAGCAGACAGAGAAGGCTGGACTACAGCTGAGAATAGAGCAGAGGAAGGTTATTGTGTTGGAGAATGCTGAGTCATGATGCGTGATTGCAAAAAAACTCTGACTGGTGATGCAGCACAATCTGTCACCTCTCGGCAACACAGATGCACAAGCATAACATCACACGCATACACACACACACACGCCCTCTCAGCTGTGAGTGTGAGCTTACCGTACGTTTCCACCCTCACGGTGGTGAACGTGGGGGATGGGAGTGTGGGGTGTTGGACGACACACATGATGCTGTCCTCGTCCTGCAGGTGAGTTGGGAAGTGGAGGACACTGCTCAAGGTCGTGGTGCCGTTTGTATGTACAGTTTCATTGATATCAGTGGTAAAAAGGTGATCCGTAGGGGGACGGCCATCCACCAACCAGCTGATCTTGGGTAAAGGTCTGCCGCCGACAGCCGAGCAGGAGACTGACTGGTAATGAGTGCTGTTTGTTATCTCTGCATTGACCTGGGTCTGGATCTCAGGCTGGGCTGTCGATGAATGAATGAATGAATGAATGAGGTAACACTTATTTACATAAACTAACTAAGAAACTAAGAGAATAAGTGATGAAAACTTAAATCAAGCTTGCTTATCCACATATCAGAGATTCTTAAAAAGAGTCTTAAAAATTGCACTGATTGTTGTCCACTTTTGGACTTTTTCCTTGTTTGTCCCTTTGAAAAGCGATCTGTGACCTGAAGAATTAGGTGAAGCTGAGTTATGGGTTTGGCTTACCTACAACAGTGATGAGAGCACTGTCAGAGTAAAAGGCTTCCTCTGACTCAAACTCACAGATGTATTCTCCCTCCACATTCACACTGGACACATTCATCTTTACTGTCAGGTTGGTGACAGACTCTGGCTCAGAGATATCAGGGTGGCGGCTGAATGGTGCATCATCTTTGAATCCCGCCAGAGGTTTGGATTTCACCTTGGAGTTAATCTGACGTTTCCATAGAGCAGTCAGGATCTCACTCTCGCCCACATATTCACACCTCAGATACACGTCTTCCCCGAGGACCGCTGTGATATTACGTGTGATCTCAAGAATGGGTGTCCCACCTGGACCTGAGACATTAAAAAAGGACATAGAGTTCATAGTTAACTTAAACAGTAGGGGAGAGTGGGGTAAGATGAGCCATTTTTCATATTTCGGATCACTACATCAAGGCAATCATAGTTTTGTCTCTAACTAGTGTATCTGCATATATTTCAGGATGTTGTTCATCCCCACAAACCAACAGAATGAGTGTAAACAGAACTGTCTTGATAATATAGCATGCCAAAAAAAGTGGTCTCCTAAAGTCAACTTACCCCGGTTTTGGTCTGAACACAATTCTAATCAAACTTATGACAGACTAAATCCACTTTCAAGAGTGAAAATTTTAAAATAAATGTAAATAAATAAATGTAAATAGTGTAAATAAATGTCTAACCCTTTCACCCATGTCCTTCTAACCTTCACAGACTCCATGAATTGATGCCCATCTCCTAAATATTTGGTCACATGATCAATTTCTTTGACCATTTCCAAGCAACAGGGGGTGGCTGAACTTACCCCACTCTCCCCTACTGAAAATGGCTGATAGCTGTCCGCTGTCTTGCCTATGAAAGGGATTTCCACCTGCTTTATTGTCTGACACTGTGATGAATGAGCCGGAATAACCAGGTCAGTTGTCATGAGGGTCTCTGCCACTTCATCATGATTAGAAAATGCCAAAGACGAATCAATATAAACTCAAAGACACGGTAACGATGTTCGCGGCCAGATGCTAATGTTAGCATGCTAATAGGTTTGTAAAATCTTTCTTATGTATGTTCAGTAATGAAGCTCGAATTCGGACTTATAGAAATAAAAACTTTCTTTACTGAATGAGAACTTCACGTTAACTCTTTTACAACATAACGAAACAGTTTTCACCGAATTCCCGCTAAACTTCCTGTTTATATCAAGGTGCATTCTGGGTAATGAAGTCCTTTTGACAAACTTGCTCTTGGAAACATGCTCCTGCTCCTCTTGTCAATAATGCAACATGAAATAAATGATGTTCAAATGTTTTTTTTCTCTTTTAACTTTATATTTAAATAAATTGCTTCTTGATGAATTATAAACTTAATTGCTTGTTTAACTATCTTATTTTTGTATTTTCTATCAATCAAAGTATCAAACAACACAGCATGGGGTCAGTTGTAGAGTTAATGTTAACTGTGTGTTACCCATCTGACATTGTAGCGTGGGCTAATGGTGGGCTGAAGGTGACATTGTGCGTGTGTTTAAAAAATGAGAAATCAATATTTGTTTATTGAAAGTGAACAATTAAAACCCACAAATGCAGAAATCTTAATCTTATGTTAAAGAGACAGCTGATGACATTTAGCATCAATCTCTCTCTAGTAAATGGTGGTTTTAATGATTTATACCTCAAAAGGCCCCTCCCCAAATAAAATTAACAGTTTTGAAAAGACTTCCTACTGTATAAAACCGATGAACAAAGTGAGATAACATACTCTTAATCTAGCATACAAACCAAATATGAGCATGTCACAAACTGAAGCCATAAGGTATCATAACACTTCACACAGGACCAGGAATATTGACCTTTTTACACCCTTGACAGAAAAGTCAGCTAACCCCCTAAAGTCATCAGGCTTCATCCTCTAGACAACATGAAAATCTACACAAATCCATCGGGTAAATATGAAGATTTGCAGCTAAATCAAGAAGAATTTGACCTGAGGGGGTGATGTTACATCAATATTCTGACCATTGCTGCCAAAATCATCACAGATGCATCCTCTTGGAACCACAATATCAGTATCTGAAATGTGACACTGATAGATCGACTGAAACAACGTGCAGCTGCGACCAGAAAGAAGATCTGAAAATAAAAGATGATGTAGAGCTCTAACACTCAGGGATGAAGACAGGAATTGGGCTTCATGCACACAATGACACTTGACAAATGTGGCCTCGTTCTCTCAGTGTATATTTAATAGAGGGCTCCATTATGTTAATGAAATGAAAACAGTCCAAAAGTTACACCCCGATCCAAACCCAGACACTGACAACCTCTCCCCTCCACACTTGAGAAATCAGCTGTGATTAGGGACATTTCAGAGAAATGGACATTTAATAGAAGCTGACAGGCTTCAGCTCTTTGCAGGGAGGACAGTGTGCAGACTCTTAATGCATATAAAGTCCCCTTCATGCTGCTTCCTTTGCTGACTTTATCAAAGTGCACTTGGGGACACAGTTTGTGCTCTCCGTCTATTGTAGCCAAGAACTTCCCTTCAGCTTTAGCTACATGATGAGGAGAATGATGACAACCTGCCCCTGCTCTGCTTTATTGTAAACCACTGCAGCTGCTGCAGTCCAAACTGTTTGCATCACATTTTGTTCGTGCTGAAATGCTGCAAGTCTAGCTGTACATCAGAAAATGGAAACAACATGGAGAGCCTCCAAACCTTTTTAAAGAAGTAAGGACACAAAGGAAGGGAAATAAATATGCTGCAAGGGTTCAATTGTACCTTGTGGGTTTATAATTCATTTGCCCTTGCAGGTTATTGCCAAAATAAATGTCAGCCAAGCATGGAAAAAGCACACCTTAAGGAAAGAGTCTGAGCAATAACCGAGAGAAAAATCAGGTATTCATGCGGTGCACACTATATCCTAAGCCTGAGGGGCTGTTTCTTTCTCACCAAACATCTACCATTTAACAGCTGCAAACAGAAACTCTTCCTCTGCAGTCTGGGGATGTGGTGAGGAAATTTTATACTCCACTTTTCACAGGTTAAAACTTTTATCTGCAGCTTCAAGTCGCTGTGACTCTGCAGAAACAAAGACTTCAGAGACTTTCACCTTAAACTGCACCGTCGAAACTTTGAATAACTGGAGGGCGGCGGAGGGTTTTCCCCCGCTCAAAGAAAAGAAACTCTAACGATCCCCATAAATTAAATACGACCCTAATATATCAGATTTAAAAGGGCTGTAAAGAAACTAATGGAGTTTTAGGTGACACCTTCTGATCAATAATAATGAACTCAGTGCAAGAGTGACACTGCCCACATGCCATCAGGAATAAACGTGCAGAATTTATGCCTTTAGCTTTACTGTCTGTGTGCAAATACTGCATGACTGGATTAAGCAGGAAGGGAAACCAAAGCAGCCCTGTGTAGTTTCAATGCCACAGGTTAAACAAGACCTAACAGGCCAATAAAATGCACCCATAAACAGCTGACACTTACAGACAGATTACAACATTGCACACTTACCCTGAACCTCCAAGCAGTGAGCAACATTTAGAACCAGAACCAGAGTCAGCAGGCCCGAGCATCTCATGATGGACTCATTGAAGGAAAGAAAGTCAGAAGGGTATTTAAACTTTGCGTAGAAGTGTGTGTGTGTGTGTGTGTGTGTGTGTGTGTGTGTGTGTGTGTGTGTGTGTGTGTGTGTGTGTTTTCTGTGGTTTGTGTTTAGGATGTACACACCCTCTACAGCTGACACACTTGTGCATGTAAGGGCTGCTGCGTGTGAACGTTCGCTGCCACCTCTGCACCCACCTATGTGAAGTGCACACACTTTACAAAATAGCTTCTGCTTTCCGAAACAATAACTGGCATGATGTTATCTGAACTGCTCCTCTCACAGTCTTCTCTGAGTTCCCACACTTTCTGGTCTGCCTCTCAGCCACCTCATGCAGTTAAAACGTGGTCTCTTATGTGCCGTTGAACCCATGCATCACTCATACCATCCTGTCCTGCAGAGACCGCCTGTCTACCCCGACTCATACCCTGCAGTTGGTGAAATTACTCACTTCTCTATTGTTTTATGACTTCACGCACCACTAGTTCACTTCTAAGCGGTTTCATTTTTTCCTGATGCCGAAAAGCCCTGCAGAGTTTGTCACTGTGAACAGATGTGAGCAACGTGGATGAGAAAGGTGAAGAGGTGTCTGCTGCAGACTTTCAGGCTTTGTCTATGTCTGGGTGCCATCTTATATTTCCTGTCAAAGCTGATCAACTTCAGCGTTGAGTCATCGATACCACAGGGGGGACTGCAGTGAATGAAATGGCCCTGACAGAGAAAAGTATTACAGAAATGCTTTGCAATCACAAGTGGTTTCTAACTACTTTTTTGAATCGTGTGGTATGAAACTGGCAGCGTAGTAGCGTGGTGAGAAAAAAAAGATCTTTTTCTACACCTCACTGCCGCAGGAGCTACACATGCTGCACAAACATCCCTTTAAAAACCCTAAAGTGCATTTCCCTCAACACACTTCCAGTAAAACACAGGATTTAAAGCCCCTGTTGTATCTTTATATGGATGGTAAGAGACCAAAGCTCTTAAATACACCTGAATCATTTATGTGAGAGCAGAGGAAGTAGGCGGCACAACATTCAGGGCCTGCCCTTTATCTGTGCAGGAACAAAGTTAATGTTTATTCCAAGCAGCAACTTTTAATGTTGAAAAATGAAGCTGAATCTTTTATGCTGCAGTTCCTCTAGTGTCCCCTCCAAGGAGTGAAAGACGACTGTTAACGGCATGATCCCTAAAATGGGATAAGTTATGCTCATGTTTGACTTTTTTCTGAGTTTTTCTTACTTCAAGATGAGTGGGTTGATCTGAATTTAAAGGGATAATCCAGCATAAAATTAAGTTAGGGTCAAACACACCGTAACACCGAGTTAGACACCCCCTCTAGAGATGAATGTTGCCGACCGCTCGCTTCTCTAGTTAAGTAACAACCGCACGATAGCAATACACAGCAGTCTGAGGAGCCATAAACAAACCTCAACCAAAACGCCACAAATAATGCTCAGAACAGAACTTCATCAACAGGACATATAGGGTCCTAGCCATATTACTAGCCACCAAACATCTTTTTAACTTTGACTAATTTCTTTAGCAAAGAGACTAAACACAACTCCCCTACTCTCTTCCAGCAGCCGCTTGTTTGTAGTGAAACTTTGGACCAGTCCATTATGGACTGCTGCGGGGTGACGCAGCTCAAGGAAGAACATTTATAATCATTTCTTCGTGGAAATGCAACCATATCAAGACACTAAGACAGAAGAACTACCAAGTGATAAGGTAATGATCATAAATGTTCTTCCTTGAGCTGCTTAACCCCACTGGATGAGTGGGTTAATCGGAATTTAAAGGGATATTCCAGCATAAAATTAATTTAGGGTCAGACACACCGTAACACCGAGTTAGACACCCCCTCTATGGCTGGGATCCTGTAGGTGCTGTTCTGAGCATTATTTGTGGCTGTAGAGTGGCGTTTTCTCTAGTTATACCAACTTAAGTACCGACTGCACGATAGCAATACACAGCAGTCTGAGGAGCCATAAACAAACCTCAACCAAAACGCCACAAATAATGCTCAGAACAGCACCTAACTTCATCAACAGGACACTCTGTGTCACGGTGTGTTTGACCCTAAATGAATTTTACGCCGGAATATCCCTTTAAAAATTCAGTTTATTAAATCATTTCAAACGTCTATAAAAAGACACTGTTTGAAGGGTGAAAGTTTTGCAGCTTATTTGTTTTAAAGTTTTAAGACCTGCTTCAAATCCTTATCTTTGCTTTTTAGTATCTTAACCAAAAGTGCGGACGAGTCGGCTGCCACCGTCTTTAAAACTCTGCTTCAGAAAACATCTGGTGAAGCCAGTAAGATCATGTCAGTGTTTTAAATCCTGTACAGGTTTGTATATTTACACTTTGAATAAATCAATCATTTGTTTTTTAATTGACGTGGTACAGAAATATAGGAAATGTGTACTTTGGTGCTTTAAATCTTCACACCTTGGATTTGCTGCCTCATTTTTCTTTGTCTAACGGGTTTAAAAAGTCAATAAATTAAAGACAAATCAGGAAGTTTCCTGTGAATCAAAATCCCAAATGCTGAACTCTGCTTCAGACAGATAAACGAGGTTTTGTCTGCGCAGTGTAAACTGGATTAAAACTCCTTCTACATCCGCTCTGAGTTTATTGTGACTGCAGATTAGTGATCATGTCTCCTGGAAGTAAAACACAGCTCAGTCTTTGACTATGATTATACTCAGTGTTTAATTTGAGAGTTTATCCCTTAAAACTCGGTGTGATCACATGACCGCTGAGCTGGTGGTCATTATTCCGGCTAATTAAATTACCTGAAGTGGTCCGTCCCTGAAGGCTGAAGGGAGGCGGATGTGGACGTGGGGATTTTGAGGAAGGAGTCTGGAAACCTTCAGTCTTTTGTCTGCAAGATAATGTATTTCACCGACAACGAATTGTTAACATTACACAGACAAGGTACTTATACATTTCACAGATGTACAACTGGCATCCTTTTCACCTTGCTGGCTTTCTCTCTATCGCTTTCTCTATGGACACGCATATGTGGAAGTGCAGCTGGAAAAAGGCAGGCTGGGAATAGGCCAGTAATAATGTGTATGTGCAGTAAAACAGCGGCCTGTGAGTGAGGGGCTGTGTGGAAATCTACTTAAAACCTTATCATCACTCTGTACTGAGGAGGAAAATCACCGATCATCTGCACCGCCTCTTCCTGCTGTTTTTCATTTACAGCTGAATTATCACCAAACTCTGAGCCTCCCACGCACAAACACACTCGCACACACACACATACACACAGTAAGCACTTTAGTAGATTCCACAATGACACAAAACTTGATTGATAAAGCCACAATCAATCTGAGTTGTATTAGAGTATTTGTGCGTAACACTGCTGGCATTTGTGCACAAACTGTAATTTACAAGAATGCAACTCTCTCGGGGGGTTTTCTTATTTATTGAAGTGAAGATGAATAAATACTGTTAATGTAAGAAAAGATGTGGAGTCTGCACAACAGAGAAAGTACAAAGATTGTGGCTGGAAATGCATCATATCTCAGCATTTGTGACCATTTGTTCTCCTCTTGGGGTAAAAAAAAGAAGTAAATTGAGACTTTTTGGCTTGTTTTAACTTCTGCTGGGACTTGTTTGCGGTCTCTACATGAATATACCAAAACTTGTAAGCGGACTTGCTTTGTAATAGCTGCAAAAATACTTCCAAACTAGATACATGAGTTGATTCAAAGTGGATGCCTTTAGGTGTGAGAAGTTCAGTGACTCATGTCTCTTTCCTTTCCACACCACGGGGGGAAACCAGCTAGCTCGGCTCCCCTGAAAGACAATAAACTCCTCTTACAGCGCCTCTGTACTTCTCCAAGTAACAGCTAACTTATTGTCTGTTTAAAGTCCCACTCTGATTGTTTTTTTTTTTTCTACTTAAAGTGTTATCAGTGATCTTTAAACTGTGGTTTTTAAGTTTTTGGCCCAAATCTCGTTACCTGTGTCGTTTTCAAGGCCTTTTCTTCTGCAGAGCTCCAGTAGCTCATTAGCAATTCTCCTCTGAGTCGTGGGCGGAGACAGCGCTGCTCTGTACACTTCTCCTCAAGTTAGCTTGTAGCCTAACGTTGCCGATGTAGTAGAGGAAACCGGTAATATAGCTCTCGGACACTATTGTCTTTTGGGACATGATGAAAGTTAATATCATAAGTAGCTTTCTTACAAGCATTGCAATCCACAGAGGCTTGTTATGCGACCGTCCTCTCCATTTCTCAGAGTCTGGCCTGCATAGCAGAGCTCCAGGGGCGGAGCTTGGATTTGTGACATCGGAAATCTCACTGAATCTGAGCCTGCTGTTTGGGTCTGCCAGAGATTCACAACGATTTGAAACTGCAACTTTTAATACGACTTTTGCTTCGAAACTCTCAAATAGTGAAGTATCTAAAACTTTATCTTAGTTAAAGCACCAGATCAACTCAAACAAACAGATAAAGGCCTCAAATTAAAAAATAAAAGAGCATGTGTGAGCGCTAATCGTGTTATCAAAGTAAAATCTCTGACGTTACTTCTTCAGAGGTGCATTTTCAGTGGTTTCTAACCACATTAGGTGTTTAAACAATCCTTCCTGTGGAAACAAAGCTAAATTGAATGTTATTTTATGTTTTTTTCATCTTTAAATAGTTTAAATAGAAATTTAAATGTCCACCTTTTAGTATTTCAATATTTGGATCTATTTTATTTGCCTTTTCCCATGCACAGATTGATTAGTCATGTTAGTATCTTACATTTCAAAGTGGTTACTGAAGATTTTATCTCTCCGTTGTGGGATAACAGTTTTGCAAAAACATGCAGATACATGTATACCAGTGAAGAGGCGGTACTGACCACAGAAAAACAGCTGCACACACGAAACAACAACAACAACAACAAAATAACCTCTGAGCCGCCTCGTTATCAGAGTACTGTGTAACCATATCTATAATGCAATCTAAGGACACTCACAGCATTCATTCACAAACATCCTGAGCTTGTTTTTAAGAGCACACATTATAGTAACTGATGCCTTTTATCAGCTCATATAAAAACATCCATAATGAGTCATAATGCTCTCATTAATGTTAATGACTTTGTCCTGACAACATTATAGCAAGTCTTTTTGCTTTAATGCACTTCACATGCATCACTTAACAGTATGGCTTGACTTCCTCAAAATAGAACAACGGACTCTGGAAATGTCACACGCACAGTTCAG